AGGAGAACTAGGGGGCACATAAAGTTTGCAATCTCCCACAAATGAGCCTACATATACATTGCTATCTATATTAAACCTATACATTCTATTTTCTGTATAAACTTTGTTAGACAACATGGCTTTAAAAATATTGGACATTTGGTGGGTAATAGAGTATTCTGTACCAATTTTTCATTTAATAAAAAAAGTTTAAATATTTTACTGCTTAAATAAAGAGAAGGAATGAGAGTCAGAAAAATCTCATTTTCCTTAGTTTCACTCATTATAGCTCAACTTACTTTGTTTTTCTAATGTTGGCAGACACAAACATAGAGCCTGGTAGATACATTACATTTTCTATGAATATGTTCTAGCAAAATTCAGAGCATTTTCAAGATATTATTCGAGTAAACTAAAATTTCAAAATCAAATTTGACAATTTAGCGAAACCTATTTGACAATGGTTGCATGTCAGGTAGGAATATTTACTGCCTAGTTTCTTTCTGTCTTCCAATAAGTATACACAAAATGTTAAGTTATCCTATTAATATTCTCTTTTTAAAAATATTTATCCAAAGTTTCCTTGTAGTCCTATGTTAGAAACTTAGCTTTATCTTTAACAGATGTATTTACAATATATGAAAGTGTATCTACAATATATAAAAGTGCCAAGTTTCTAGTCTAATTTTTAGATACATTTTCATCCCCCTGGGAACTTTTATATGAATGCAAGAAGAGAATAATCATGACTTTATGTGACTATTGAGCACATTGTTCATTTTTCTTTTTTTTTTTTGGTAAGTTTTTACTTTTAGGAAATCTTAGTGTTGGAGTAGTTCAACGATCATATACTTTATCAAACTCCATAGGTTAAAATGCAATGAAAATTTACCCCAAATAATAACTTGATTGCCCTTTATTCTACAAATGGCACACCTAAGAACATCCCTGTCTATGTGCATTCGAATTGTGGCCCAGTTATCCAAGACAGAATTATAAAACAGTCATTAGAATATAACAAAAATTAATGAAAATGGAAAATTATATTGATGCAATATTTTGCTAATCTATGCAATCAGAAGAATATTTTTTTCTAAAAAATACTTTTAAGTAAAATAAAAACCAATTTCCTACACAGCTGTTATCAGTATATACTTATAGTTTAATTTCTATTCCACCTTGAAAAAGTTAAGAAACTGTGATTTGGAAACAGGTCCCTTTTTGTTAGATATTTATTTTTGCTTGTTTTGAAGGCAGAATCTTACTTTGTCACCCAGGCTGGAGTGCAGCGATGTGAACATGGCTCACTGCAGCCTTGCCCTCCGGGGCTCCAGCAATCCTCCTGCCTCAGCTTCCCAAGTAGCTGGGACCACAGGCCCACACCACACCTGGCCAATTAAATTTTTTTTTGGAGAGGTAGGCATCTTTCCATGTTGCTCAGGCTGGTCTTGAACTCCTGGCCTCCAGCAATCCTCCTGCCTTGACCTACTGGGGTTACAGGCATGGGCCACTGTGCCAAGTATTTTTTGAAATCCATATTTTCTTGACATGAGGTAGCTTTTTAGCAGCATTTTGGGTGCTGTTCCCCAAACACAGTGTTGTTTGGCATGATACCAGATTGGAGGATATCCTAGTCAACTAGGAGAATTATATGTTGTTGCAGTTGAAGGTGCTGTTACTAATGCAGTAGGAGAGAAGTAAAGCAATTTGAAAAGAGGCAGATTTTTATAGGAAAGAAAATAGATACCCAATCTCATTGCTGATCAATTTCCTCCTACTTAAGCAACATTAAGGTGATTTTATTTATCAATAAGCTATTAATTACCAAAATTTACAGAATCAATTCAAATTTACTGGATGTTCCTAAATTATTGTTTTGTTATTATCACCTGGTTGGCTGACTAATTTTAATTTTCTCTGTAAGGAATTAGGAAGCATTCAAATAAGAAATTATAGAAAAATTGATAGTGATGCAGAAGGTATGAAGGTATTAAATAGGTGCTACTATCTTAAGTCTAAAAATATAAACCTTATGCAGAATTAGCCTTTGGTTCTACCAGCAATTTAAAAAAACCCGTTGTCTTAACAGTTTTAAACTTACGGTAGCAGGACTTGCTTTATCTACTTAACTTGGGGAAAATAAAAATAAACGTATGGCATGGTAGACACATGAACACTTTCTATGAATTTATTTTAATGGAATTCAAAGTATTTCCTAGATATTACTAAAACAAGGTAAAATTTTAGCAAAAAAACCAAAACCACATCTACCTACTTGTAGAAAACTGGCTCCAAAGAGGTAAATGGTGTGATAACTTGGGATGGTGTTCCAGTGGTAATTTTCTCAATATTTTGGTATTATTGTATGTCTAGGTGTCTGCTCTTAATCTTGTAAAAAAGCAATTATGACTTTATCCAGAATAATGATTTTTTTTCCCATAAAGAGATTCCTGTATTAACTAATCTTTTCATTTTGATTAAATTTAAAACTTCTTTAAATCAAACCTAATTTGCATTGACAAGACAAAAAACCTTTGCTATTTATTTGCAAAGATTTTAAGGAAAATCAGAACTTTTGCTTCTAGAATTTGGAATGCTTTTTAGATGGAGTAGAAATTTTCCTGCTCCAATGGGCATTTGTTATGTCAATGTAATTACTGTCTTTGAGAATAAAAGCAGATCTGTAGGGGAGTGTAAATTTGGATCTAAGAATTGTTTTAGGACAAGGTTGTTTTACTTTCTCATTTTTAGAGTTAGTTTGAAGCCTACATAAGTTATATTTAAATTCATACTATTTAAGGGACAAATATGATTTGGCTATTTGTCTTAGATGATTTTTTAATTGCACTTTTTCTATTTAATAAAAGTGAAATAAAAAGGAAAAGAAATTAAGAGATAGAGTACAAATGCAAGAATATAGCAATTTCCAAACCTAGGTGCACATTGAAATCACCTAGAGATCATTAAAAAATACTGATGCCAGGCACCCATCCAAAGAAATTCTAGTGTAAATGTTATGAGATATGATATTGGCATTAGCATTTTTAAAAGCTCTCCAGGAGATTCTAATGTACAGCCTACTTTGGGGACTACTGTCCTAAGAAATATTAGAAGCTAAATGTAAAATAGAAAGCACAGGGTCTTTCAGAGTTTCAGCTGTAGACTTGGAGGCTTTGTTATCTCATTGGAGTTAGGACAACTGAAATGTTACAAGTACTTCTGATTGTGATTGAAATTTACCTGATTTTGATTAGAATCTTGCCTGCTTTTGGATCACAGAATTCTATTAAGGAGTTGACAAAATTTTCCATGTCTTTGTGTTTATGTTTTCCTTTGTGTTCTGTAAATTTTTATTTAAGGGCCAAGGGATTTGTTTGTTTGTTTGTTTGTTTGTTTTTTGAGACGGAGTCTCGCTCTGTCGCCCAGGCTGGAGTGCAGTGGTGCAATCTCCACTCACTGCAAGCTCTGCCTCCCGGGTTCACGCCATTCTCCTGCCTCAGCCTCCCATGTAGCTGGGACTACAGGCGCCCGCCACCGCGCCCTGCTAATTTTTGTATTTTTGGTAGAGACGGGTTTCACCGTGTTAGCAAAGATGGTCTCGATCTTCTGACCTCGTGATCCGCCCACCTCGGCCTCCCAAAGTGCTGGGATTACAGGCGTGAGCCATTGTGCCTGGCCGCCAAGGGATTTTAAAAAATGAAAATTCTAGTACTGTGTCTTAAACCACTAATGAGACTGATGTAGGAGTAACAGGTATTTGGTGTTGGACTTAGATTATTTATGTTTGAACAAAGCAATCATTTACAAGTATGGCAAGAAAGTAGTGCCTTCTCTTTACCTCAGTTCCGGGTTTTGTAGCGCCGTTGCCCTCCCCCACTTCATCATCAGATGTTCCTGGAGAAGAGGTCCAGGACTCTAGGGGGAATTTGGTAAATAACACCCATGCTAATTGTCTGAAACAGTTTCTAATCAGCAATGATTGATGTAAGATTTTTCTGTGGCAGCTTCAAGACAAAAGGACTCAGGTATGGTGAAGCCGCCTGATATTTATTAAAACAAAAAGGAAGGAAAGTTAGAGGATCTCCTGGAAGATTGAAAATAAATGGGTTAGATAATTCAAAGCTAACCCCAAGTTAATATAACTGTCTCTGATTGCTAGTTGGCGGGGTGGATACTGCAACAATATCAAAGAAATGAGAACAAATCTGCACTTCTCTCTTTAAAATGGCTTTTCAGTCAATTTGCTGAAAGGAAGAAGTATCATAAATGATATTCTGTATATCTGATTTACTTTTTTATGATATTAGGTAGGAGAAAAATAAGTCTGAGATGATGAAAATCAATCACTATGAACAAGTCAAAAAATTTTAAATTAGAAAAGGTCATTTCATGTTGGCATGATTATTGGAAAAGGTAGGAGTTCTAGGGAAAAATAGGTGTGGACTAATGAGCTGAATAAACAATGGGGCCTGTATTTGTTTCGACCATACCTACAACATATCATATCTATTTCTAGGAAGTCCCCATGGGCTGCAGGGGACAGGAAGATCCTGATCTGTGACAAATGGACTGGATGGAATTTTCAGGCTGAAGAGAAGTTGAACCCACAAAATCTTGGATAGTCTTTCATGAGCTTAGCCCTGCAATCACGCCCCATACAGTGAGCCATGGTGCATGCATTTTGAAAAGCAGCCTCCTCCCTTCCCTTTTCCTCTTTGTGACTTTGTGTATCACAAAAGCAGCTGTGAGCCAGAGGTAAGACTCTGGAGTTTACTTGGCTTCCCTTGATTGTTACTGACTGCCCGGGTCTGCTCTGTCCCTCCCAACTCTTGCCAGCTAAAAGATCTCTCTCCACCCTGGCAGGATTTGTAAACATGCTCCCCAAACACTCAGGAACATTGGAAGAACAACTTTTGGGGCAGTGGCTCTCCAGCTTTCTGTTAAACAAAATGCTCTTTAACATTTGATTTCATTTCAGAATAACGTTCTTACGTTCTTCGGATTCTACAGTCGTGAACGCTCTTCACCATTCTACAATTGATATAAGCTATACTGTCTCTGGAAAGGCATTTCTTTAGGAAAGATATTATTTATGATCATTGGGGGACCGAGTTAGAGGTTTTTTTTGTTTTTGTTTTTGTTTTTTTAATAGAGTTTTGTGTGTCTTATTCTTAAATTTAAAAAAGTATCTTCAGAAGGCGCCATATCCATCCCCTCGAGCAGTCACTGCAAAAGTTGGGTAGACCTCATAGGTTGTATATGCTGCTAAGTCTTGTCCAAGGGTTACCGCTTGCTTGAGCTGGGCAGCAGACACAGGTGCAGTTGCATTAGGGACAGCATATCCTGGAGGAAGAGGCAGAGAAAACTTCATGAAAGGAATTCACATTTGCTCCCTTTTGGCTTATTTGTCTTCTTTTAGACATACGAACTTTTAACATATTACTTAAAGCTAAAAGTTAATATGTATGTTTTAAAAAGTGCCCTTAAGGACACAGTATGTGGACTCAGTGATTTTCAATCACATTCAAAAAGTCCTAGGACAATGTTCCCAAAAGTGGGATCAACCACCTGTGTCAGAATCACTTCATACTTAAGAGAATTGAAGATGCCTGGGATAGGGCCCAAGAAAGAGAAACTTAACAGGATGCTGAGTTGATTAAAGCTTGTGATTTATAACTTTTTGAAGGTTTCCAAATTTATAAATGAGAAAAGGTGACTGAGGGGCTGGCCAGGCATGGTATGTGGGGAGGTGGGGCTCTGTGGGACCGGTTCTCCTGCAACCCCACACCTGCCTAAATGAAACATTTAAAACATTTGCCTTTACCCGAGAAGATGTGTAGAGACTGGGAGATCAGTAGGAGAAATACTGTAATGGTTAAGTGTAGTTCTCCATAATACCTTAAAAGCAAATGCCTAACCTGTCCATATTTAGATCTAACTATGAATGGCAGAAGACCTTCGTACCTCCCAAGCCCCTCATCAAGCCTGTGCTTGGTGTATTCAGAGGCCTTGATGCTGGTTCTCCCCCTCAGAGAACCAAAGTATCCAAGAATTAAAAAAAAAATCTATGCGCTTTCATGTTAGCATTGTGTCTAGTGGATGAACATTCACTTTTGAAGAAGAGAGCATATTAGCTACCATCTAAAGCATTATTTCTCTGTATTGTTTTAGTCTAAAAACCTGAGTATTTCTGAGATGATCCAGAAATTGTAAAAGATAACAAGAGAAAGAGAGAAGTATACTTAAGTACAAATGGACACCTGTTTTTCATTGTTGTTTTAAACCTCATTTGGTTTATGTGCGGTAGAAGCCTGCCCAACACCAGACACATTGATTTTTTTCTGGTGGCTTCTCAGAAAGTGGTGGCAGGAAGCTGGTTGGATTATTTTGAACAAAAATTGAATCCATTCTTGGCGCATTCACTTTGGTCAGTAATGCTGATTAATGCACTAGAGAAGTTTGGTCCATTTTCCAAGGATAGGAGACATGTGTTAACAGTTACTTTCATAATTTTGGAAACAGTATTTCTAAACTAAGTGAGTAATATAATTGTGTGAGCGTGTGCACACATGCATGCATGTGTTCGTGGCACATATTTTACCTTTAGGGATTTTGAATTTTGTTTTTCAACTTGGTAAATTTGTTAAGTGCCAAGGTGTTTGGGTTTCAAACCGATTCTTCCCTTGGAGCCTATTATTCTTTGCTTGACTCCACAGCAAAGTTATAAGAGAGGCTCTCAGATTCTTAGGCATTCCCCAGACAACACTCATACCCCAAATATTTTTAACTTTTCACAGAAGCCAATAGAAGTGAGAATAAGATAAAACATTCTTGGGTAAAAGCAAATCCTTTCCAATGTGAAAGCAAACTTTGAAATTCTTCTGACAGTGGCTCATTAGTTTAATAGTACATTTGTTAGGTGTCTTTGGGGTGCAGCTTTCTGCAAGACAGGAGCTCAACTTTCTCTAAGAACTGAGAAGCCCTAGCAGGCGTCCTGAGTACATGGACATGTAAACACCCTGTTATGTGGAAAGCAAGCACCGGTTGCTGGCCCCGCACTGCCCAGGAAGGACCTTGCCCTCTGCAGTGTCAGCTATTACCTTGGTAACCTCCGAGGGACTCACCACAGAGCGTCTCCATGTTCTTACAGAGAAACAAAGCCAGAATTGAGGTCACTTTCAGATGTGAAACATCATTAATATTAGCCTCACTGACCAGAATGGAGGATATATTCACAACTTTTGAGAAAACAAAACAAAACAAAATGCTGAGAATGAGCCCCAGGTGCAGTGGGTGTGAGGAATATAAAATTTCTCACACCTACACATGACCAGTATATGAATTAATTAATCGATAAGAATGTCATCTTTCTAGGTATACTTAGAGCTCTAATTTGGACTTATGTAGAACATGCTGACACAGTGACAAGTCAAAATGATAGATTTCTTCAATAGAAATAATCTTTTACTAAAAAAAAAAAGGACAAAAATTTTCATCTGAGAAAAAATTTCCTAAACAACTTTCTTCCTGGTCCCCTTCAGTCTCTAAAGGATTCATTTTTAATTATTACCATTTGTTGTGGGTACATAATAAATGGGGACAAGTCTTTTAACATGTGACCTCTGAACGCATTGTTGATCCACAGATAGGCTTTGCTTTAAGCAATCAGCATATGCCCCAGACCAAAATTATAGAACAAATAAGTTGAGTCCTGATTATTCACATATTGAAAGGATCTCTGTCTGTCTCTCACTCTCACACACACAATTTTTGACTTTAAAAAATCTCTTTTGGAATCAAATTAATAAAAGTAGATTGAAGATTGGAGAGGGAGAAAAAAATTGCTGAAAAGCTAATTGCCATTGGCCAAATTACTTAATCTTTTCATACATGGGCTCTTCATTTGTGTACTGGACCTTCTGATGGAACCTAACTCTTGGTGGTATCATGAGCGTTACTAAGATATTATAATGCTTCCCGACCATTTAGGTGAGTGCCTAGCACACAGTAAGAGCTCCAATAAACATCATATATCTATAGGTAGTTTCAAACTCTCTTACTAAAAGTAAAAACCAAAACAAACCAGACTCAGAGAGACTGACTCATTCAAGATCACACAGCAGTTTAAAGCTGAGCCAAGACCAGAACCCACTCTGTTGCCCAGCTTGATTTTCTTGCCTTGTGTTTTAATGAGTCACTCATTTGGGAAACTCTTTTTGGTCCCAAGGTGGTGCAAGTCAGATTGCTGTAAGTGGGGTTCACAAACATTTCTATGATTCAATGGTACCAAAAAAGGGTTTCCCAAATACTCTCTGCAGGGCGCCATTTCTGGCACAATTTTCCCATACCTGGGAAAGCAGTAGCAGCAGTAGCCATGGTGCCAGCATCGCCTCCATCAGTGGGGATGCCCAGGGTCTGCAGGGTGTATTCGGCTGCGTACGTCTTTGCTTCATCCACATAGGCACTCAGCTTCGGAGGTGTGAAAGGGTGGCTGGAAAGCAAGTCAGTCAGGGTAGGCATTTTTAAACTGGTACAACTGAGTCAGGTGAAAACCTAAGGCACTATCAGTTTTGTAAAATGACTGGATGGTGGTTTTTTGAGTGGGTGTTTTACATTCTGTTTGCTATTAAAGTTTCTAAATATAGGTTGCATGTAGGAATATTTACAAATTGATCTAGAACATCAGTGGTTTATGACATTCCTGGGACATACAAATAATTCACTACATGCCTTTTCTAAAGCACAAGTGAAACAAATTGTTTCTAAAAGATATAGAAGTGCAGGCTCATGGTAAAATTCAGGAGGTGATATCCGCTAACAGAGAGGTCATATATTTGGTCCCAAATTAAATGATGGGCCATTGTCTTATTATGTATAAAAATGGTAATTTCATATGCTTCAACTTAAACATTGCACAGATGAAATAATGGGCTATAGCTTTGTTTGTTTGAAATGGAGTCTCACTCTATTGCCCAGGTTGGAGTGCAGTGGCATGATCTCAGCAACCTCCACCTCCCAGGTTCAAGTGATTATCCTGTCTCAGCCTCCCTAATAACTACGACTACAGGCGCCTGCCACCACACCCGGCTAATTTTTGTATTTTTAGTAGAGATGGGGTTTCACCATGTTGGCCAGGCTGGTCTCAAACTCCTGACCTCAAGTGATCTACCTGCCTCAGCCTCCCAAAGTGCTGGGATTATAGGCATGAGCCACCACGCCCAGCCAAGAATGGGCTATAGTTTTTGTTTCTATTACATTTTACACTACTGACTGTTTTCCAATGGTTGGTGATACTACACAACCTTCATTGTGTGTATGAAATTTGGGGGCCTTTATATGCCAGCTTCATGGCTGGCACATCCCAACTATACATCTCAATGCTTACATTTAATGACAAATGAGTAGGTAGTAGGCCTCAGTATCTTGTTTAGATGGTGATTAAGTGCATTTAATTTACAAGCGCATCCTGCTCTAAAATGGTAAGGAATTTGGAGAAGTTACGCACATTGCAGGATTCTGGCTGGCTAGGGCAGGAATGGTTATTTTGTATAAGAATAGTTGTCTTTGGTCTTGTCCAATGGCAGAGTGCAGCTGGTACACTGGCTGTCCCCAGTTATTTTTCTGGCAAATCTCTTCTAATATCTACAAGAATAAAAAAAGTTATTTTCCCCTCAAATGACACATTCACATTATATCCCAAGTTTTCAGATTTTTAAACTCTAATTTTCAGAGTTCAAGCTAATATCAGAAGATATAAAATGCCACATGGTTTAATGACTCATAAAATTTAAGATGAACTCTATTTGAACTCCATTTAAAATGTTAGGTCTATTAGTTCATAAAATCACTTTCACACCATTTACTGTAATATATTTTTAGTTTAGTCCATTAGCTGTAACTTTTTACCAAAAGCTTAATTTTATGATTTGTTTGGAATATTTGTTTTTGTAAAAACTGTTGCTCCAACACTGTGTGCATAGATTTGTATAGATTTACTCATTATTACCCTCAGTCTCTGTGTTTATAATCATTTAGAGATGATAACCTAAGAATATATTTTTATTTCATGTCATTTGCCATAGGGTTTTAATCTCACAATTTCATAAAAATAGAATTAAAAAGTTTAATGGATTGGTATTTACTGAGCATTCCTAGACGGGTGTTGACAGTTGTAATGTTTTTATTTGTTTGGTAAGACACTATTTCTGGCTTTTTTTTTTCTTTTGCTTAATGACAATATGCTTTTTAGCATCCTCCTGCACGTTGTTTTCTTCTGTAATTACTCCAAACTGAATATTTTCTAAAGATTCATAGTTTCTTTATTCTGAAGCCATTTTTGGTTGTCCAGAGGTCCTGACGCTCTCGTTAGTCAGCAGATTCAGTAGACTGTGGAAAGCAGGGCATAAGGCTGAGAAAATAACTCTGGAAGACAGAACAGTGCCTCAGGATGTGTCTCTGGGGTTTCTTACCTCATTTATGCTAACTAACCCAGCTGCAATAGCATGATATTTTCCAGTTTATTAATTTGTAGATTGTTCCTATTTTCTCTATTGACATTTTCCTTTTAATACTCTTGTTGTGTAGGATCCCTTGTCATCCTCAGAGCATTCTCTGCAGTTCTTGGGCAATAATAATGGAGCTTTTGCTGGTAGATATGACGCCTGCCTGTTTATGCCAGGTGAGCAAACCCGGGTGGAAGGAACACCAGCTCTCACTGCTGACTTTGCAGGGCAGTATTTGTCTCTGCTTCTGGCTGGAAGTTCATAACTCTACTTTGGGGTTGTTTAGGCCCCATCTATATTGGTTGGTGGTGGCATGGTGTTCATTTCTAAGCCATAGTTGTAGAAGGTCAGAGAACAATATTATTAATTTGTCTTTTGTATAAGAATAGTTGTCTTTGGTCTTGTCCAATAGCAGAGTGCAGCGGGTACACTGGCTGTCCCCAGTTATTTTTCTGGGGACAGAGACACTTTCATTAATTGATAGAGATTATTACTGACATATTAATATAAGACATGATGAATTTCTAACTTGAGTTTGACGTGAAACGAAGAGATCTCTTTTCATACTATCACAGCTATCAGAACTACTATTATACAGACTTTGTGACTATTATTTTTTATTTTCGTAAAAGATTTCTAAGGATTCCAGTACTTTAATCAGGTTCTTGGTTTTGGGTTTTAACCCAAGAGAAACTGGGTGACTGGCTTTTATATTTTCTGAACAAACTTCATCATATCACTTCCAGATTTCATTATGGTTATATGTTTATGTGTCAGTTTTTTTCCCACCGGATTGCCATCTAATTTTTGGTGGTAAGGATTTTTTTATATTCACTTCTGCATCTCCAGCACCTAGTGCACTACATGGTGCATAAGAGAAGTTTACTAAATCTTTTGTGAACAAACAAATGATTGCTGTTTAGCACTCTGGTAGGCTTTCTTTTTTTTTAATTCCCTGGGTGGGGCTAGCAGAAACCTTAGATAAGCTAATTTGTGCATAAAAGAAAGTCAGAAATCCCACTGAAAAATTACCCAAGATGAGCTTTTAGAAAACCAAGTTTTCTTCTGGATTGAAATTATAAGGGCTACTTCCATAAATGTGGGGCTATAAGCCTACCTTTGTCACGGGAATAGGGAAGTTTCCTTTAAGACACACAAACTGTAACTGATTATTCAGCCAAAATATATTTCAGAGAGATCAGCACCTATCACACTCCCACAGGGAACAGTCTCAGGGTGAGCATAGACCCTGTTTTGTTTTATTTTTAACCCTGGGAGTCAGTTTCCGTATTGAAACTTGTATAACTTTTAATTTTCCAGTAATAAAAAACACAGGTTAATGTTGAAGTATGGAAACTTAGAACTCTTAAATGAACACAAAAGAAACCCCTCTCTGTAATGCCACTGCCGCAATATAACTATGGAGGAAGAGTTAATTTGGTATGACTGACGACATCTCATAGTTCATAATTCACCTAGATATCATGGTGGAGTTTTCTCTTAGATACAGTATTTCCAAGAAAAGATGTCCTAAATGGTCTATTCAGGGCTCTGCCATAATGCCCTTCATTTGCCAACCAACCTGGCTGACATACAATAGGCATTTATTCTGAGATGGGGTCTTTGCCTCATTTTATTTTCATTTAGGGTATGGGTTGATAATTCTTAATAGCTTTCAGATTCTTTGCATTTCAGTGGAATATTGTTCAAGGTGTTAAGCTTTAAGATTTTTTTAAAAAGAGAAAGGACCTATAATAGAATAACGGCACCTGATGCCCAGCATTCCCTCAAAGGGTGTGACATTGATTGAATGCTTTATATATTAAAAGAAAAAAAAAAACCCATAGCTTGAGTAGGGATCAAGTCAAATCATTTGGTAAAAGTGAATGATGCTCATTGGCACAACTTAAAGAAACTATTTCTGGAATAACATTACCTACCTGGGGAGCGAGTTTAATTCCTTGGGGTTTTAACGAGACAGGATTCATTGGCGTGAGCTCCATCCCAGGTAAAATATCATAGAGTTTGTCTTCTCTTTTGTCTCCTTTGGCCTGGTATCCTCGACCCAGGCCTGTGTATGCCAAATAGCCACGGCCGCCCAGTCCTCTCACTCCCGCAGCCCCTACAGGTACATTCATGTAAATTTCTAGGAATGTAAGAAGGCATTAAACTGAATCAAACCACCAGAAAATCACCCTGAATCTTACTGTAATGGAAAAGTTAGCCCAATTCACGTTGATTATTGCCCTGAAGATGGGTGGGAAACTCTAGGATTCTAATGTAATGAAACTCAACATAAGGTAAGGTTTAACATAGGTGTCTTTCTCTTTTTTGAAAAACTACCTTCAGAAGATAGCGATGCCATTGATAAGTACAATACTGTTGATAAGTACATAAGCAACTTAAAAATGTTGGGAGAGAAATTTTGCAATTTTTGTCTTTAGGTTACCTTTTCTTGATATTTTCTAATATAGACTAATAAAGACTGGGAATGTATTTATTACAACATTCCAACATAATGCGACCACTTGTTTTGAAATCAGTCTTACATAGAGACTGTCACTGATCAGCATATTAGAAATAAATTCTGGCTTCTCTAATTATCCCACCTCCAGTGACTTATTGGAAAACAAGCATTTAGAAAGCATGCTTTTAGGTTCACCATCCTCTCTCTGATGTTCGGTCAATGTGAGGCTTAAGTTTCCATTGAGTTTCATGCATAGATTCCTTTTGATTTTTGTTTTGCCATGTTGCTACTTTGATTTTATGTTGATGGCATAGAGATACAAAATTAAATTGATTACCCTTCATCCATGAATATCATTCATTGATTCCTTTCTTGTTATAAGATAGGCATTTTTTTCCGTTATAGTGGAGTTTGTTTTTTTCTACATCATAACTGGTTGACAATTTGTATTTAATGTATGGATTGGTTAATGATGTGATTTTTCATTATAAATGCATAATGTTACAATGATATAATTTATTGTCACATAGACAAGTTATCCTAAAGGAAATCCTGATTACTTAATTTACATTAAAATTTTGGGGCAAGTAATTATGAGTATGAAACTTTTAAGGCCGTTGAAGACTAGAGCTCCTAGGATGATCAATTCAATTATACTGAAAAATAGTAAAACATAGTAAGATAATTGTTTCCACAGTAATCTAGATGTGCCTCTTTGCTTCTATGTCAAACCCAAGAATAGACTTAAATACACAGTTTATTTATCGAATTGCCCAGATTCATGTCGTATTTAGAGGACAGAACTGGAATTCAGTTGGCGTTAGCCATATCCTAGAAAAACTAATCTGAAGGAGCCAAAAAGGCAGGGACAAGCTAGTTTCTTGGAAATAAAATAAAGGCTTTCTTTATCTTCTAGCTTCCTTGAAGAAATGGAGCTTGGAAAACTACTCAAACATTTAGAATTCTTACAGGATTCAAATGTGAAATGTTTATTGTTTTATTAGCAGCCTGATTGAGGGTTTTTTCTATTTGGTGTTTATTTAGTTCTTCATGTACTAAAGAAATATAGTAATTTCCTTAATAATTTGGCCTTTAAGAAAGTATAACACATATTTCTTGGAGGACATCAGATGAGAACCTCTCATGTGTCTGTTAGATTATATTTATAATAATTTGTGATTTGTATATTAAGACAATGCAACTGAGTCACCATCAAATACACACATGCCTTGAAAGGGTTTTGCTATTTGAGGTAATTGGTTTCCACTGGACTATACTGGTCTATTCCAGAAGTGTTGTAATGAACCACAGATGACTGCACAATGGTGGACAAGTGATACAAAAGAAGCTAACAGTTATAGAACTAGGTTTTAGTTTGTGCAAATTTTATGGACCCATGTAAAGTTTGAATCTGTGCACTAGGCTCATTTGCACAATGTTCTGACCACGTTTTTTCAATAACCAGTTGTAATGTGAAAAAAGACTCCTATCAAAGGAAAACTATTGATATAATACTTGATTTTTTTAATAAAAAAAAATTTTCAGTGCTTTTCTCCCAGTGGACCCTTCCAATGTATCTAAGGCTACTGCAATTTGAGTCATTTGAAATTTTAGGATTACTCTAAAGCAAGATCTGACTGGAGTTACCTCTAATAGAAGGGGCTCGGATAATGGCTCTGTTGCTGAGGTGTCCTTTGGTGGCTGGGAAATGAAGACTGGGAATTGCTGCATAAGCCTGAGGGGCATAGAAGACAGGAGCTCCAAGGTAGGTTGTGGTGGGATCATAAACTTGGCCCAAAGAGTAGGTGTACTCTCCTTGCAGCATGGTGCCCCTTCCACCTGTGCCTCGGGTGTACCTAACATAACTGTCCTTGTCCACTGGTTTTGCTAGGGTGACTTCAATGGGGGAACCGTCCAGCACCTGTTGTAGAGAGCAAAGAAAAATCAACATGAGATGATACGAAGATAACCAAGTGTGGCTGAGCCCTAATAACATGATTCCTTCTAAGTGTTAGACTACTTGCTGTAGGTTTATTGATTGTATCTTGTCATTTTATAGGTTTGTGTTTGTATGCCAGTTGAGTTTTTTCTGAGCCATTTTGTTGGTAAGATGCATAAGATGCCAACAGGTTTGACAGTGACATATTGGCCGGTGTCCACTGACATATTCATTATAAATTTATAATCTGGTTACAGTCACTGAGACAGAAACTTATGTAATATTTTTATTAGGTCATATATGTGTTTTAAATTACATATCTATATAATTATATAACTACAATAAAATTTAGTTTTGTTATGGATGGTATAAAATCTCCATTACCTAGCACAGTAAGATGAAGGTGAAAGGAAACCAATAACAAAATCTTATCAATTATTAGCATTTAGCATGGGCAGCCAAATCAGGCCCTTCCAGCTGATAGCCTACTAACTGCCTTGCTCCTTAGATCAGCCGCACAAGTAAATTTTCACAGGAGAAGAGAGGCATACTGTGGCTCTACCAAAGGAAGAGGAATCTGGGAGGCTGTTGCATTGCCTGCCACAGGTTCTTCCTTGTGAAGCCACCTTTTGATCTGCTGAACAGTTGGGAACTAATAAACAGGGATGACAGTGGTCAGGAGTAGTTGGGAGTGAGAGTAGTATTGAGGTTCTCAGATCATGCACCGCTTAAAACTTGTCCTCAAAAATTATTGACACAAATTTTGAGAGTGTGAACAGCTCCAGATGTCGAAGATAATGAATGTATGTAGATCTACACGTGCTACTAACTTCTATGTATTGCTTACCTACACAAGAAACAAACATGGGTCTCAACAAGTTCTTGATAGATTGATGTATTTATTATCAAAGGAACAAAGTATTGTCACAAAGCATTTGTGGCTTTTTTTTTTTGAATAAGAATGTGATGATCCTCTGTTTTATATACAGAAGACTTTTATTTAAAGTGTTTCTACAGAAATTCACATTCACAGCAGCTGAGTGTGCACTCTTACCCTCTGATTTCAACAGTGCCTCAGTGGTTCCTGGATTATCGAAGTCTGCTGGACAAAGCTTGTGCTTCATGGTCATCCTGACCATTTTGTTCAGCCTGTGGGTCAGTTTGTCTCCAGTATTATGTATTTACCTTACTTTTTAGTAGCAGGAGCCAGTGTCAAATAAGTTAGATGGAATACTCTGATAGAATCCAGATGATATTCAACAATCTTATATTGATGTTGATGTAATTAGAAAAAATAGAACTGGCATACTGAAAATAGGGGAGGACCTTGGGTATAAGATTATTTATATCTTCAGTCTGGTCTTGAGGAAGATGAGAGACTCAAATAGGTCTCTGCTTATAGGTACTTCCATATCAAGATACATTTTGCATGGAATGATTCTTTGCTGCAAATTCAGATTTCTTGTAATACATTTTGTTCTGCCTTCCTCTGTCCCATCCAAAAGCATTTTAAACTCAATATTGTATTTTAGTTATTTAGTTTAGATATTTCAAGAGCTAGGACAACATCTTATTAATCAGTATAACCCAAGCTTAGTAAAATTTCTTTCACTTCACAGACTTGGAATAAATGAATAATCATTCTGAAGCTCAATTCATTATTTTTCTCTCTGAATAGGCTTCCCTTCCTGAATTTCATAACAACCTCCCATATTTGAAGCTTATAATGACTTCTCCTTCTTTTTCACCCCTATCTCCAATCAGTTCCTGGGTCCTTTGAATTTACCCCTACTGTTCTGTACATAGTTGTCTCCTGCATTCCATTCCTACCTAAGTTCAAGACCTTATTTTGTCCCATTTGGGTGACTATAATAGCTTTATAACTAGTTTCTATGACATGTTTCTCTCACCTGTATTAAAAAGGCAATTCTTACTAGGCTAATTTTCCTAAATTGTAAATGTGATAATTACTGCACAAAAAAATTCAAGATCTCACCTCATCTAATAAATTAAATATAAATTTCTATATATATGCTCAAAAACCATAGTTCCTAGGAAAACTTACTCTAGATTTTTCCATACCGTATTATAGTCAAGTGTAATATTAAATATATATTTAACTAAATAATATGTGTAAATATTACTATAAAAATATCTAGCTGCAAAAATTGGGAATAATTTGAATATGTTTCCATTGTAATTATTCCAATGTAATTATTGGCATTTAATTTGTGATGGCTGTTCCTTTCCAGCAATCATCGTGTATACTCAGGAATGTTTCCATATAGAGAAAATCGAACTTATAGATTGTTTTCCAAGTAATAACACTTTTATGACATTAAATGTGATAATCAATGAAGATGAAATAATGCTTTTCTTTATAGACATGTATTTAACTATGCATTAGTTTTTGCTTTGCAGTTGTCTTTTTTGTATTTCAGAGTGAATACATTCTCCACCCCACCCTCCAGCACTCAAATATTTTTGAGTTTGAGCGGGCCCCTGAGGAGCTAATATGCAAGAGGCTCCACAGTGTCTGAAGGGCCTAGGCTAAGAGATCCTCCCTTTGCCATCTGGATCCACTCCCTATGGAATTCACCACCTACTAGCTCCGGTCTGCTCTCTGCTCTGGGAGACTATTCTACATGGGATCCTCTTTAGCCTTCTAGATTGTGATTGGATTTAACCAATGCGGAATGCTGGTAGGAGGTTGGAGAAAGAGACAACAGTGAATTTGGGGCATTTATTCTGCCCTCTTTGAAAGGTCACCTTGGGCTGACTGTGTCCTTTGACCAAAATCACTACTTCTTTCTGTTCTCTTTTCTTTTTTTCCTTAATGATGGGGTTTCACTCTGTTGTCCAGGTTGCAATGCAATGGCACAATCATAGATCACTGCAGTCTCAGCCTTCTGAGATCAAGAGATCCTCCCACCTCAGCCTCTGGAGTAGCTGGGACTACTGTAGTAGTCCATGCCACCATGCTTGGCTAACTTTTTGTGGAGATGAGGTCTTGCCATCTTGTCCAGGCTGGTCTCGGAGTCCTGGGCTCAAGCAAACCTTCCACCTCAGCCTCCCAAAGTGCTGAGATTACAGGTGTGAGCCACTGCACCCAGCTACTTATTGCAAAGAGATCTGCTCTACACAATTCTCTCCCCTTTCAGGATTTCTATTAATTCTCCAGCCCCTTGTACCTTTGACTCCAGAATGCTGTGAGCCCCAAATTCTGACACTCTTTTTTTGATTTCCCTAGTCCCAACTCACACTTTTGTAATTAATTCCTTTGCTATTTGTTTTCTTTTGGGACCCTGGCTGATGCCAGATCCAATAGGTAAAACAGTCCCATGTGCATTATGTTCCAACCAAGTTACTCCACATTTTCCTGTTCTCCAATCTTGTCTTTCTCTTCTCAAATTCTGTGCCTCTGTCTAAGACTGCCTGTCTTTCCATATTTTGATTTTTGAAATTATACCCAATTTTCATGGCTTCTTTTAAATATTATCTTCTCATATCCATGAAGATGTTTTATTCTTTATGGCCCACTTCTTCCTTTGAACTTGCTCACCACGTTGATCTCTTTTTATGATATTTACTTGACTGTACTTTGCACATGTTTGTGTAGTTGTCTTATTCCTCCAACCAACTTTTAACTGTTTGTCAAACATCTTTGATTCTTTCTGTATCCTAGCATGATAAGTGGTCTACAGAAGGTTTTAAATGTTTATTGGCTTGATACATAAATATTATATTGGTTTCTGTATACAACTCAGTAGTGAGGATATAGAAGCTTCCCCAGCCCCGACTCTTGGCAAGGTGAGAGACTCTAAGCTTTCCCAGTGGAAGATCAAACTATGAAGGCAGAATAACAGCTATCTTGACATGTTTTTAATTCATCAGCTTCTAAAATACTGCAATAAAATGATGATAATCTCTTTGAAGTAATGAGAGAAAACTGGAATTGTGAAAAACACCTTGAAATAATCTACTTCAATCTCCTCTTTCCATGGAAATTGAGTTTCAGTGCCTTGTCCAAATTAGAAAAAAAATAGAGCTAAAGTTGGATATATTAGGTACATCTCCAATTTCCATTGTATTTTCCATCATTTCTCTTTAGTACATCTTAAATGGACTGAGGCAGCCATGTCAGAGAAGGCTGGAGTGAGACAGACTCGCAGGACTGTGCTTTTGAATGTAATGTCCGCACCAAACTTGGATGGAATCTGCATATTTTTTTCTTTGTTCTACCTTACCTTGCCATTTAAAGCTTTCATAGCCTCAACTGCATCTTCTCGGTTACTGAAGTGCACAAAAGCATAGTCTCGAATTTTCTTCACCCTCTCCACAGCACCTGTAAAATAGAGTGAAAGTTGCCCCATTAACAAACTTAAGAGAGCCCTGAAAGTGATATATTTTAGCACCTAGCTGCAAAGAGTATTGCATTTTTTCATGGATATCTCATATTTAAGAAAGGATCTCATCAAGAACATTCAACTGAAGATGTTTTTTTGGCAGTTTTAAAAATAAAATTTATATTCTGACTTATTATAATTTGTTATGGATTTGTGTTTTCCACTTCCTAGATTATAAGGTCTCTAAGCATAGGAATTCCACCTTCCTTTGCATCTTATGTAATGTAAAAGATAGTACCTTTTGCATGGCAAAATATTTGTTGAGTTGAACTCAATTACTGATCATTTTACAAACGTATATTTAGGTGATTACTTTTTTAAGTTTTATGCTTTTCATCCCAGCAAAATGTCTTTATCTCTTTTGTCTTATGTAATTAACTTTAATTTACTTTTTAAAACTTAAATATTAGGTAACTACAGTTCTGATAAGGTAACTGAGATTTAGAGTCCACACAGAGAGGAACTACAATTGTATTCCCTATATCCTTATCCATTAATCTTTAAATAGAAAAGCAAAAAGAAGAAAAAGAAAGTTGTTTCCACAAGAACATCTGGGAACCAAGATAAGTTGCCTGCCTTGCTGTCATGATAGCTAAAGACTGGAAACAATGTAAATATCTACTATTCTACTTTGAGGAATGTCTCATACAGAAACACTCACACACATGTACAAGAATCATGCATAAGAATATCAATTACACTACTGTTGAAAGAGCAAAAATAAAACAATTTAATGTCTATTTTCATGAGTGATTAAATCTGCTACATTTATACCAACACCAAGGAGTCTATACAGAAAATAGACCTGTATGTGATTACATGCAAAGATTAAAGACCTATATATATATTTTTTTCAGACAGAGTTTTGCTCTTGTTGCCCAGGCTAGAGTGCAATGGCGCGATCTCAGCTCACTGCAACCTCCGCCTCCCTGGTTCAAGCGATTCTTCTGCCTCAGTCTCCTGAGTAGCTGGGATTACAGGCATGTGCCACCATGTGCCTGGCTAATTTTGTATTTTTAGTAGAGAAGGAGTTTCACCATGTTGATCAGGCTGGTCTCGAACTCCAGACCTCAGGTAATCTGCCCACCTCGGCCTCCCAAAGTATTGGGATTACAGGCATGAGCCACTATGCCTGGCCCAAGATCTACTGTTAAGTTTTAAAAAGTTATAAAATAGCAAGTACAACATTATAGCATTTGTGTTTTTAATAATCCAAAACTGTATATATATGCACAAAATTTAAATACACTTATACAGAAAGCAAACTGAAAAGATAGAGACCAAACTCTTAACAGGGGTTACTTCAGGAATGGGCAGAAAAGTTGGGAAGAATGAAGGGGATTTTCATTTTGTAATTGATATATTTGGCATTTTACAAATATTTGCAAAATTTATTTATGTTATTTGTGTAGAAAACCCAAACAAACCATCTATTTTTATGTAAAGGAACTGCTGAACATGATAGCAACATATAAAAATGAAAAAGATAGTTGTACCGAGATAGTTGGATGTTGTATTTTTAAAATGTTGTTGCTTACTCAATTTTAAAAATAGACCTTTTGCTTAGAGTGAAGGTAAGGTGGAAATTTGTTTAACCACTGTTAGTTTAGCATGCCAATTATCTTCTTTTACCCTACACTCACTTGGGTGTACCTTGAGAGTCTAGGGAGACAACATAGGATGAGACATTATTCCAGGGAAAAGAAGAGGGGGAAGTCCTTTCTGTCCCTATCAAAGTTTCATTATCCTCTTAGATTCAAGGTAACAAAGGTAATTAGAGTTTTTACTCCCTCACATGGTTCAATGACTAAGAATTATCTTCCTTTGGAATAATAGTGAACCTGTAACATAAGGACAATTTAAAGACATTGTGATACTTCTCTTTACACTCCCTTCAACATTCGACCCTTGACTTCTTATGGCAATGGTTATACAGAGCAAAATCATCTGGCCAGGCTAAGGATAAATAAAGCTCTCTGAGACCATGAAGCATGGGACATATAATTAACTGAATATCCAATATGGTCTCTTCACTCCTTTCAGTGTCACACGGGGTGATGATCATGACTCAATCCCATGACTCGTTTTTGTAATTGAGAAGAAAGACATTGGCCAATGATGACCTTCACCTTTCCAGTCTTTGCTCAGTTCATATTTCAATGTCATTCTCCACCTAGACTCCCTGGTCTGTTATCTCCCTGAGACGAGGACCTGCTTCAGAGACTTTGTGGTATCATCTTCACCTGGTTCCTGCCTACTGCCTTGGACACAGGAGTTACTCTATAAATACACATGGAATAAGGGAATATTATCAGTTAATTCAAACCCCAACTTCTGTCATCTACACCAGTTAGGTGGCATTTCAGATGATAATGAATTTAGATTTTCTGAAATTCTGTTTGCAGATATTTCAAATTATCTTACACTGTTGGATAATTTCCAGATGCATCTGGTTTTGGAAAATTTGATATTTAAAAATTTAGTCTTATAAAACAGACAAGTTAAAAAGTTAGAGTTTGTGTCATAAAAGTTGGTTTTCTCTACAATAGCATTCACCACATGGCTTATTTTAATATGTTTCTTCTTTAGTGCATAGGAGTTTGTTTAATAATTGATCCTCATCTGGCAGAGGGTGAATCCACAGAATATGAATGATCATTATTACCCAATCATCCATTAGCAAAGAAGAAAAAGATCCTCTGAAATCATGATGCAAGGAATTGGAAAATTATTGCTGTGTTTATTATCAACTTGTCACAACACATAAACCTGAGGAGAAATACACCTGCACGCCAAAGGGAAGGTTATCAGAGGGTCATGGTTCCCCAAGTGTGGTCCCCAGACCAGCAGAATCAGCTTTGCCTGGAAACTTAATAGAAATGGAAATGCTTGAGCCCACCCACGATGGGCCATACAATCAGCGATTTAACATGCCCTTCAGGTGATTCTAATACTGCTAAACTCTTGTAGGAAGATCAGATTTTGTAGAATGACTATAATGGGAAATTCAGCAGATACCCTTAGGCTACAGTAGGGAAGAACAAACCATCTTCAGATCCCAATTTTTGTTCTAATTATCATTTATGTCTCTGAGTGGCAATATAGTATTATTCAAGTTCACCATGGTTAAAATGATACATGGTCAAATATTTTGAGGTAATAGGTAGGTTCCTCTGAGGGACCTAAACTTTAAATGGAATTTTTAAAGAGTCATTTTCCTGTTTCTTTCCATAAATTTTTCTAGATAAGTATAGCCTTGGCACAGTACATACTTTCCAAGATGAAGCAAACTAGTTAGCTCTGACGTTTCCCTCTCAATGCAGCAGATGTCTGCTAGTTGTTCACCTTCAGCAATTCATATTTTTTTTTGCAGAGGGCCAGGAAGAACAAGCCACACATCATTATATAGCCCTGAGAGTTGTGCCACCAGCTGCAGACTATGACCTGAAATCTCTGGACACACTTTAGTCCCAAGAAGAAAGAGAAAGTGAGAGAGCAAGCAACAGAGAGATATGTGACGTTCATTATTTTCATGATAATTAGTAGGATTCGGGCACACATGTCTCTTCAATATATGCCAATACACAGACTGGGAAAGCTAATGACCAGGGACTAGGAAAGGAAGCAGCCTTTTAGTAGTTTCTCATTCTAACCCTTGGCAAAAAAAGGGTGCTGTTTTAATTAGATAAAAATAAGAAGTATTATTCACTCTGGGAAGGTAGAAAGTCAACATGCAATGAGGGGAGAATAGTGGGCAATATTTATACACACACATTATGGTTCCTATGCCTACAACTGCATCAACATTCAGATCTCAGCTTAGATGTCACTTCGAAACACAAATCTTCTCTTCACTCCAAGAGTAGTCTGTCTAAGATGTATTTTTTCTGGAATTTCTTAAACTTTTTCCACGCACACATCATACTTGTTGGTTCCTTCCCCAGTGCCTCGCACATAGGAGCTACTGAAGGAAAGACAGTTGAATGAATGAGTAAGTGAATGGAATAAAGATTGGGCATGAGAGTATTAAAGTTTTTAAGAACATGTCCTTTACCAGATTTGAGTTCAAATCCAGGATCTGCCACCTGCTAGCTGTGTGACCCTGGGCAAACCACTTAACTACTCTGGGTCCTGGTTTTCTTATCTATAAAGTAATGGAATGAATAAAGCAACCTGTATTATAGAGTTGTGATGAATAAATGACACATGCTGTGAAAGGGCCCACTGCAATGCTTGGCACACAGTAAGGTAGTCCATCGTTTGCAGTTTCTAGCTTAGTCATGGATTCACAGCTGTTGGTGTGGAGCCACACCATGACACTAATATTTCAGGGAAGGCAGAGTTCTTGAGGCTGGAGAAAGATCCTTGGTGAGTCTTTCAAAATGGAGCAGTGACATCCTTACTGAATATCCTTCAGAGCAAATCATCAGCTTATCATTCTGTTCTATCTGAAATATCACCCAGAGTTGGAAACAGACAATTTGAGTATGTGCAAGTGAGTATTCTCAGGTAGCTTTGACATGACAGTACCATGGCCTAAGCTTATTAACAACCTATAGAATTTGCCAGGAGGCTGGGACATTCTCAGTTATGAAAGGATATTACTACTATGATAACCCTAAGCCACTGCTGCCCAGAGTGTGTTTAAAGACACAGTAATCCCACAAGATGATATGCCAACAAAGAGCAGTCGTGCTTCAGAAATTTGAAAAATGAAGCTTTCTGTATCTCGGAGAATTTCAAAGCATGTCAGAAGGCTAAAGACTGATAAGTTCCATAATGAAGAAATTAATTTAATTTTGCAGAATCTGGTGTTTACAAGTTTATTTGACCATGGAGCACTTTTATCAGTAACATCTACCAAAAGATTATAGAATTAATGTTCTGAACTGTTTTTGGGAAATGGTAATTTGCACATTGTTTCTTGAAATGCTCTACCTCTCTCAGTGTTGTAGCTCCTATATGGAAAAGAAAGAGATGGGAAGTCAATCTGGTGGCTTAGAATTGATACTGAAAAATATTGGCAAGATGAGTAGCAACTAACTATCCCCTTCCACCTTCCCTTTATTCCTTTCCCTTCCTCTTCATTTAAATGAGGTTCCTAGGATTGTCACCTTTTACTTATGTCACAAGTGTATTCCGTTAGGCCAGTGGTTCTAAACTGGGGCAATTTTGCCCACCCATAGAGTATATTTTGCAATGTCTGAAGGCATTTTTGATTATTACATCTTGGAGGTTGCTACTGGTATCTAACAGGGACGGGCCTGGGATGCTGCTAAACATCTTACAATCCACTGGACAGACCTCTACAGCCAAGAATGATCTGTTCCAAAATATCAATAGTGGTGAGGCTGAGAAACCCTGCATCAGACATATAGTTATGGCATGCATTGTTTATTACAGTAAATATTTATTGAGCAATCGTTGTACCCCAGAGCTTAAATGTCCGAGGAAGGAGGAAACAATAAGAGGGGAAAAAAAAACTCACGAAATTTATAGTTTAGTGAAGAAAATAGGTATTCATTAAATAATCACATAGATAAATATAAAATTATAATATTGATAAATATTATTGGACCATATGGCTTGATTTTCTAATCCAAAGTTAGGAACATAGTTTGAGAGGTTTGCATGCAATTATGAGATGAGCTAAATAAAAGCATTTCTACTTAAAGTTATGGGAAGTCATCGCAAGCATAGGTGCTTTTAAAGAATGTTTTGAAAAACTAATCTTGTATATATGTCCTACCTGGTTTGATATTGTTGAATTCCTTTTCAATCATCTCTTCAGAGGTAGACAGCATAAGATTTCTTACATATAGGATTTTCACTGAAGACATTGTATCTTCATCAACTTCTACTTCTGGCTCTGCCCAGTCTACTGCAATAGGATGTCCCCACAACTGAATTCTTCCTGTTGAAAATGATCACAATTATGATTAATTATGTACAAATCAGGACAACATCGTCTCAGTTTATACTGATGGTCTTTTAAATTAGCCTGACCCTTGAGGTCTTGAATGAGCAAGAAGACCATTAAAATTGGTGAGTATTGATCTTAAGAGACATTCCAAATAAATGGAGTAACTGACTAGAAGGGAGTTCTGTGTGACCAGTGACTTGTTATAACTATTGATTATAAGGGGAACCAGGATGCGGTTTGAGGTTGAACAGAAATGAGGCAGCAGAGGGCACATTTGGCTCTTACAACAACACTCATTGGATGAAGGTAGTCACTTAAGGTAAGATAGCAAAAGGGAGAAAGGAAAAGTATGGATTTAGGGCCCAGATATAGAGTCTGACTCCACAGAACATTAAGAAGGTTACTAGGAAGAGTATTTACTGCCGTTTGAATCTGTGTTGTTAATTAGGCTAAGTACCACAATTGAGATGTTCAAAAAATGGTGTTTCGGCAAAGGTGGGTGGGGCTCAGGCATCCTTAGCTTGTTTTCTGTCCCTCACACTTGGTCAAGGCTTAGACCAGCTGTGTTCCCTCTTAATCCTCTTTCACAACATGAATAAATCTGGAATCTGGAGACATTTTTTTAAAAATCCTAATTAAGAAGACAGATGACAAGCAACGGAAGAGCCTATGATGAAAAATTTAACTCTTCTGAAAAGGGTAGTTGTTCTCCATGGCTACATATATTTTTGTATTACTATAAACACATTTTATTGAGTGTCTTGTACTGTACCATCTGTTTTTCATGTGCTATCTCAGTTCCTTCTCACAGTAACCCTGTGGGGAAGTGAATGACTCCCAATTTTACAGAATGGGAAAGGAGCTTTAGAGAGGATAACTTTCCCAGACCTGTTCTACTTAACCGCCTCCCCCTTTTTTGTTGTTGTTTTGGTTTGGTTTTTTGGTGACTCTGCTCCTGTACCCCTACACAGTGCAGATCTTGTTGAAGTGATGAGAGGGGAGTGAGAGTCAACCCAAGTTCTAAATTTCATTGGAAATCTAGTTTGTTTTTTATTCATTGTTTGGGAACAAACTTTATCCCATAAGCAATACAAAGCTTAAGAGAACAAAGTCAGGAATACTCAGTATTGGTAAGGGTTTATTTGTTTAATTACTACACATGGGAAGCAATTATTTTCAATAAGAATGTATCTTTATATTCCTTGAAAAGCAGTCAGTAAAAGTGTCCGCGGCACTGGCATTCTAAAACCCAAATGGAGAATAGGCATGTCTTAAGAGATAACCGACCTTAGAGAAGCTGGCTCTTGTTACCCTAGCTGTGACCGTCTTGTTCTGTATTGCATTCCAGGGGCTAGTTTTCTTCATTACTCTCTTCCCTTCCCCTTTTATGCTTTACATTAGACTTTTTTTTGTTTGTATTATCCCAAGATCCCCAAGATCCCCAAGGCTCCCATGTAACTCTGGTTTTGGTAGCTCTGGTTTTGGCCAAGCTTATCCTTGGCCCCATATTGGGTGAGGTTTAAAAAATAATGAAACCTGGATTCCACCCAATGATGTACTAGAGCCAGTTCTTCTCTACTTGCAAAAATAGATTATTTTTGCATTTCTCCTTCCACGCTTTTTAAAGTTACGATTAGTCAAAATTGCATCTATTTATGGTATACAACATGATGTTTTGATACATGTATACATTGTAAAATGATTAAATGAAGTTAATTAACATATCCATCACCTCACATACTTTTTTTTGTGGTGATAACATTTAAGATCTACTCCCTTAGCAATTTTCGAGTATACAAATACATTAACTATAGTCATATTATACAATAGATTTCCAGAAATTATTCATTTTAATGGAAACTTTGTATCATTTGACCAATATCTCTCCATACCTCTGCCTCCAGCCCTGGTAACCACCATTCAACACTGTGCTTATATGAATTCAACTTTTTAGATTCCACATATAAGTGAGATTATGCAATATTTGTCTCTCTGTGCCTGGCTTATTTCACTTAATATAATGTGCTCCAGGTTCACCCATGTTGTTGCAAATGACAGAATTTCCTTCTTTGTAAAGACTGAATAATATTCCATTGTAACTAATAAGCTCAGTACAGCTGTAAAATACAAAACTAACATACATAAGTAAGTAGCCTTTCTATACACTAACAACAAGAAATCAAGAAAACTGAAAAAGAAATCAAGAAAACATCTCATTTATAATACCATCCCCCCCACAAAAATACTTAGAAATAAATTTAACCAACAAGATGAAAGATCTGTATACTTAAAACTATAAAATATTGATAAAAAATTAAAGAAGAAACAAATAAATGGAAAAATAGCCTATGTTCATGGATTGGAGGCATTATTATTGTTAAAAGGTCCACACTACCTAGAGCAATCTACAGATTCCATGCAATCTCTATCGAAAATCCAGTGATGTTTTTCACAGAAATAGAAAATACGATTCTAAAATTTGTATGGGGCCACAAAAGACCTTAGCCAAAGAAATCTGAACCAAAAGAACAAAGCTGGGGTCATCACACTACTTGATTTCAAAATATACTACAAAGCTGTAGTAATCGAAACAGTATGATACTGGCATAAAAACAGACATTTAAGCCAGTGAAACAAAATAGAGTCCAGAAATAAATCCACACACTTAAGGTCAACTGATCTTTGCAAAGATGCCAAGAACACACAATGGGGAAGGAACAGCCTCTTCAACAAATGATGTAAGGAAAATTGGATATCCATATGCAGAAGAATGAAATGGGACCCTTATCTTACAACATACACATAAGCCTAGTTAAAATGGAATAAGATTTAAATGTAAGACCTGAAACAGTAAAACTACTAGAAAGAAACAATAAGGGAAAATTTCTTGACATTGGTCTGGAAAATTGTTTCTCGGCTATAACCCCCAAAGCACAGGCAACAAAAGCAAAAATAGATGAATGGGATTGCGTCAAACTAAAGTTTCTGCACAGCAAAGGAAACAATCAATGGAGGAAAGAGATAACCTAAGGAATGGGAAAAAATATTTACAAAGCATACATTCGATAAGGAGTTAATACCCCAAATATATAAATAACTCAAACAATCAATAGTAGGAAAACAAATAACCCAATTAAAAATGAGCAAAAGGCCAGGTGTGCTGGTTCATGCCTGTAATCCCACCACTTTGGGAGGCCAAGGCCAGTGGATCTTCTGAGGTCAGGAGTTTGACACCAGCCTGGCCAACATGGAGAAACCCCATCTCTACTAAAAACACAAAATTAGCCAGTTGTGGTGGCGCATGCCTGTAATCCCAGCTACTCAGGAGGCTGAGGCAGGAAAATCACTTGAACCTGGGAGGCAGAGGTTGCAGTGAGCCAAGATCATGCCATTGCACTCTAGCCTGGGCAATAAGAGTGAAACTCCGTCTCAAAAATAAAAAAAAAAGGTCAATGGATTTGAATAGACATATCTCAAAAGAAGAAATATAAATGACCAACAGGTATATGAAAAAATGCTCAACATCCCTAATCAGGAAAATATAAATCAAAACTAAAATGAGTTATCACCTCACACCTGGTAGAATGGCCATTATGAAAAAGATCAAAGATAATGTTTTCAAGGATTTGGAGAAACGAGAATGCTTGCATACTGTTGATGGGAATGTAAGTTGGTACAGCCATTATGGAAAATAATATGCAGGTTCCTCAAAAAAAATAAAAATAGAGCTACCATATGATCCCGCAGTCACCATACTGGGTATATATTCTCCCCAAATGAAATCATTATGCTAAAGAGATACCTGCATTCCCATGTTTATGGAAGCATTATTCACAATTACCATGGTATGGAATCAACCTAAATGTTCATCAACAGATAAATAGACAAAGAAAGTATCAGAATTTTGTGAGCCAGTTAAAGCCACGTTGGTAACTTGAAATCAGCCACATTGGGAGTGTTAATACCATTGAAATTGGCAAATGCTACAAATCAGGGCTTTTGTTTTTTTCTCTAGGAGCTGGCTGTTAAAGATTTACCAGCTCATTACTGACCTCCGGACTGCCCTTCCCAATTCTGATATAAGTGGGCTGGATCTCAGGAGTTTTACAAGTAGCTTAGTTAATTCTAAAATGCAGCTACAGTTGAGTACTACTGCTCTAGCTTTAGTCTTCTCAGCCTAGGACCATGAACTGCTGCATAAGGCTAAGAGAACAGACGTGAGAGTAAATATAGGAAGCAGTGATTTCCACCAATATCCTTTTGAAGGCCTCTGGTGAAAGCGAGTGTTACAGAGTGATTTGAGAACATGAACTTGAAGTAAGACAAGTTCAAATGTCAGAACAATGATCCTGGCTAGAAAACATATCCTTTCTAACATCAGTTTCCTTATCTACAACCTACTATTGTTGTGAGGTCAAGAAAAGATGATGCAGATAAGACTTAATAACTTTTAAATGATGATTCAACAATACACTCTCCTTTTAATAATTTTTCCTGTTTTTGTATGTGTATAGTTTTCTCAGAATACGCACTCTTCGAGTGCAATGGTTAGGTTCTCCTTTTTTTTTTTTTTTTTTTTTAAGAATCTCTCATATCATTCAGAAGGGAGCAATATATGTTCTAGATGCTTAATAAATATTTACTGACTGAGCGATTCCCAGGTATTTCTATTTACATGCCATGAAGATGAATACCCAGTATCATTAGCTAATAGATTTAGCTGTGAATCACACAATTTGACTGAAGAATAGAATCATCTGGAAAACTTAAAACACCAGTTCCCTAACTTTATATTCCAGTGATGCAGATTCAATTGATTAGAGGCTGACATGGGTACTAATATTGTTTGAAGACATCAGGTAATTCCAATGTGCAGCCTAGGATGGAAAATCATTGATTCAAATAATGGGTTTTCAAATGTGCAGTCCTGGGAGCAGTAGCATCCTGGGAGGTTGTTGTAAATGCAAATTACCTGGCCCGACACCAGACCTACTGAATCAAGAACTCTGGTGGTGGGATCTAGCAATCTGTGCTATAACAAGCCTCCCAGGTGATGCTGATGCAGCCTGACGTTGAGAATCACTGCCAGGACTTTTCTTCAGAGCATTCTTAGAATGCCTTTCTAGTTTCTGAGTGGGATGCAGCGACTTTGTCCTCTAAAGAGCTCAGTAAAGGTGAGATTTGTCAAGGGGGAACTGCCACTGTTTAGAGAGGAGGTAACTGGCTGAGGAGCAGTTACATCCCTTTAGACAACCATTGTCTCTGTCTCCAAGTCTGGGTCAATTAAGAAAAAGTTTCTTGTTGTCTTCACTTATAATTTTTTCTCAACAGTCTCCTTGTTCTTTTAAACTAGCTTCTCAAAGGGTTGGCAATTACAGAATTCCTTTGTCGTGGGTGAGTCTGCAATGGGGTAACTGGTAGAATGATCCAAATGGGTGATAGGTTTTGTTCTGAGATCTCATTAGAGGCGAAGGAGTTTGCTCTGGCTGGCTTACTCACCACTGTGCCTCATCTTGTTAGTTTGCTGATGAGTTAGTTGCTGACTAAAATCCAGCTGAGTGAAATCCACCTGAGACTGGCTCAAAGGGCCATAGGTAAGGAGGTTGCATTGGATCATGGTGAATACCCTATGGTGTATCCTGGACAGAGAATCCACAAGGAAAAGTTAGGACTGTGCTTGAGAATTTCTAAGCTTATCTGACAGGCCCTGGCCAGCCTAGTCAGCTTGACTTACATAAAGAAGTTCCTTAGTGGGCCAATGTGCCATTCTCTTTGAAGAGATGGGGAAGCTTTCAGGAGGTTGAGCTTCTCCGGGATTACTGGATTGTCTTGACCCTGGAAACTGTCTTTCACCTGTTTTGGACCCTCTTTCACTCTCCTACTCCCCCACACCCAAAATTATTTCACATATCTGTTTTTACAGATAATGAATGGCTTCCTACATTGAGGGAGGAAAGTGACTAATTCGGGCTGGAATACTGGAGGCAGGTTTCTCAAGAAGGTACTGGCTGAACTGGGGTGACTGTCACAAGTGAAGGAGGGGCAGGTATTCCTAGTAGAGGATATAGCATTAGAAATAAAGGAGACAGACATAAGCATGGAAGTGTCTAGGTCATTGCGTTGTCTGTCCTGATAGAAGGAAGAGTTTTTATTGGGAAATAGAAGGTAGCAAATATGGTCATAAAAGACCAGGAAATGAATAAAAGGTCTTAAATAATGAAATCACATACTTAGTTCTTATACACAACAAGGAGTTATGAATATTTTTGAACTGGCCAGTTAGTGACAGACATCATTTAGCCTATAGATAGAGATTGAATTCCTGAGATTGAATTCCTACTGTTTGCAAGAAGGTATTGAAAGGATAATAGGATATTTTGGAAACATTAATCTGGTGGTAATGTTCAGGATGGAGAAGTCGGAGGGTGGGGCACATGGAAGAGAAAGCAGAGCTGGGAGAATAATTAGATCTTGAAAAAAATTACATAAGGTTTAGAATATGTGTGTTTATACTTCAGTGGTGGCCTGAGAACAGGATGGATACAAAAGACTTTTCAATGGTAGAGTTGTCGATGTTGAAGAAGAAAGAAGAATTGAAGCAGATAGCAAAATACTATGTCCAGGTCACCAAAAAGTATGCCCCCATGAGGAGTCTTAGTCAGTCTATCTATGGACCTGTGATTTTGATGACTTGACTGCTGGCCAGTGAAGAGGGAAGAAGTTGTGAATGAAAGATTCAACATTAAAAATATCTACTTCTGTAAAAGATTCAGCAATCTTTGGAACTGTCTCCTTTTGTTTTTCACTTTAAGTTGCCTTCATGAAGATATTATTGAAAGATCTTCCCCAAGCTAGAAGCTGTCTCCTAGTTTTGAAGATATCTAGGGGGCTGATCTAGTATTGGTTTGTTTTGAAGAGTGTGTACAAAGGCAACATAAATGTAGACGTCTTTGTTGTGGTTGTTTTGTTTTGAATTCTGGTGGCTCTCTCATAATTTTCATGAGAAAAGTTCATTCCAATATGTCCAGTCTGTCATTCTTGAAATCTTCTTATTTTAGTATTCATTTAAAAACCTGTGTAAGTTGTAGTGAATGTTGTAGAATGAGTCAAGAACCCTAAACAACTTTCCTAAGTTGATCTGACCGAGGCAGTGCTGGGGTGGATAGAGAATTTGCTAGTTATTCACCAAATGGGATCTATCCTGTGGTTGTAATAACTAACAAATAAAGGTGACTTTCTAAGGAGAGTTTTTATCTCTCTTCTCTCAAATTAGACAGAAATTATTAGACAACAGGGAGTCATGATGAAAGTATGTCACCTAGTTGTCATTGGAATAATGTATCACTTGAGGTTTTTATTTCTACGTTGTCATGGAGAATATACCCTAATTCTAATAAGCCTGATAACAAAATCTATACACAAAAGTAACTGTGATTGATATACTCAATTTTAAGAAGACTCTTTATTCATCGTAGGATTGCTGTCACTTAAAGTTCTGGGTTTCTTTAGTGCATGTAAATTACCCTCAATGCACAGAATGAATATTTTTCAAAACTGAGTCTGTGAAAACTTCAGGGAATGGAATCAACTGTGAGATAGTGAAGAAGGATAAAAAAATTTAAAACGCAACATAATGAAAGATAGAGAGCCAAAAAAATTAAAAATGCTTATTTTCTTTGTGGAGGCAGGCAGGATAGAGCACAGAAATCTCATCTTTGAGGAGGGTATTGCTAACCTGGTAGCAGTTTCCTCCTTGCCATGGCAGCCACTCGATGACTCTCATACTCCACAAAGGCAAAGCCTCGGTTTTTGGTTTTATCTGCAGCGCTTGGGTAGACGATGACATCGACAACACCTTCAGTAACCTTTTTCATCTCCGATAAGATTTCTTCTCTCTTTTTGGTTTTTGGGATGCCCCCAACAAATAATCGGCAGTTGTCCACACTGGCACAAACCCCTAAGAGGCGCCCATTTCTGCAAAAAGAGCAGGGATTTTGATTGATGAGAATCCTTGTAGGATTCAGGTTGAAAATGTATGGCCCTGGGCCAGATGTTGCCTGAAGATGTGGGATGTTTGGATTCATAGTGTTGAAACCATTTTTGTAGAGTTGTGGCTTCTTTTGCAAGACTATTAGATGTGTCAATATGTGCTCTACATGTTCAAAGAAAAAAGCTATTTGAAGCTGAGTAGCATCTGCTTTCTTTGGGCTAGATGTGGATTCAAGAGTTGTGAATCCTCGCCACTCCCTGAAGCAACTCTAACACTGAGGCCCCTACACCTAACCCAGGTTACTGAAGCCACCTGCCTGGCCCTGCAGTCACTTGAGTTTGCAACACCTGACATTCCTTTGTTTTTGCAGCCAAAGAGAAAAGCTGTTCTGATGTGACCTCTGTTAAAAACAGTCTCTTATACTTGAACACATTTTCACATATGATCTTATCTGGCCCACACAAAAAGACTGTGGGATGGGCAGAGTAGATGTTATTTCCATTTACAGATGAACTTGAAATGCCAAGAAATTAAAAGAGTTGCTTAAAATGTTATAGAATATAAGGAATGAAACCTAGCTCTGGGATCTTAGTTCCTGTTTCTTCCACTGTTCAGAGTTGCTTCTTAGCAAATTGAGGTATATACACCTGCACTGGCAGAGTATACATTGATTAAACTATTATGGAGAACATTTAGCAAAATTTATCAAAAGTCTTAAGTGTGCACAACCTTTGACCAAATAAAGTATCTTCTGGGAATATGTCCCTGGAAAATAAAAATCAGCACTAGAATTTATGTTTAAGGATATTTATTACTGCTCTTTAAAATCTCCCCCAAATTGGAAATGAGCAAAATACCTCACGGTAAAGAACTGGTTTAATGTCTCTCAACTGAGATGTTACTGGATTTGAACTGGAGATTTTCTCATTGCATACCATAGTATGTTTATCATCTCTAGTTCTTGCCTACTACATGCCAATAGTGACCAATCAGATCATTCAAAAATGCCTCCCCACCTTTCTAAATGCCCCCTTGGGTGGACAGTATTCTCCTGGTTGAGAATCACTGATAAACAAAAGACAGGCATTCATACCATTGCATGCTCTGTAGTCATGAAAAAGAGTAACGTAGAAGAATATTTATTGGTTTAAAAAAACCAGTTCACAATAGGCTGTTGGCTCTAAAAAGCTATAAAATAAGTATATGTGAAGACCATTTTGATTAAAAATGTATAGAAAAATCTGGAAAGACAATAAAATGTCAACATAGTGGTTATTTTGGGGCAATGGAGTTACAGAGAAATGGTTTTAACTTTTATTACTTTATGCTTTTTTTATGTTTTCCATGTGTGACATATTAGGCTGTATGACTTTTGTAATAACACTAAGTTATTAAAAATGGGTGAGGTATGCTTAGCAGAAATGACCCATTTGCAGTGAACACAAGCTCTCAGCCAGCTGCGTGGGCGGGCGATTTGTCTGCTATCCGTGGAGCGAATGGCTCTTGGTTGTGTGGCAGGTTTTCTGACCAGGGTTAGGCCACTATCCCAGCTGTCTCCTATGCTTTGCTGAAGAAGCAAGGACTGTGTGTCAGATCTGTGACAGCTCCATCTCAGTCTAGTAAGAATTGTGCCAGGAGCGTGGTTCGCAAGGGGAGGGAAAGGTTGATAAAATAATCTTCCAAGTTTTTTTTTTTTTTTTTTTTAAACTTCATTTAAAAAAGAAAACACTAAAACCTTTTCCACAGTATTAATGTATTTAGAAATTATATTATTTTTGATAGTTAGGGAGCCGGTCATATATCAGTCACCAGCAGGGGGAGCCTAGAATTCCATATTTTATTTTTAAACTGTTGTGGTTTGTCAGGAGCCTTTGCCGGAATTATTTGGAGACAAAGAGCCATCTCCTCTCAAAAGCTGAGGCCACAACTTTAATGTCTCTAGAAGCCAGACATTTAGATGATGATCAGTGAATATTTGATGAAGTAGAAGCTCATATAATGATATGTGGGTGAGAAATGGTGGATAAAAGCAAATTAAAGTTTTCTTCTCTGCATCAAAAGTTCTCTCCCTGGCAGGACTGACCCAAGGCAGAGTGGAAGTAGGTGAGGTTGTCTATGGGGTGTTTATTCTGGTTTGTCTTATTCCATTTATTCTACCCCCTAATTTTTAAGACAACACTCTGCCTTTACCTTGCTTCTGGCATCCAACCTGTTCTTTCACTGGAATCCTGGCCAGTAACTTTCCCTTCCTAATTTCTGTCATATTTTTCCTTTCCTTTTCCCTTCTCCTCCTCCATCATCACCACCATAACCTTCTGCAAACATTCACAGAGCACCTAGTATGTGTCAGCACTGAGATGTATGTACATTATTTCATTTATTTTTCAAAACACCTCATGAGGTAGGTATATTTTTATCTCTATTTTACAGACAAAGGCACTAAAATTCACAGAGGATACTGTTAATTATCAGTGGCCATGGTGGATTGATTGTATTCATTATTCATATCCTATGAATATTTACAGGCCCTATTGGGTAACAATGTGTTAAGTAGATACAGCAAATCCACTTGATTCCCTACAGAGCCAATTCCATATCCATCTCAACTCAGATACCATTTTGGGTATTACTGTTACCATGTCCAGGTTCCATGAAAGACCAAGGAATGGGGGAACCTTCCAATTCTGGAAATCGTAAAACTATAATGTAGCATTTTGTAGCCCTTTCAAAACACTTTAGTATATATTCTTTCATGTAGTGAATGCTCAGAACATCTCTGTGTTCAGGTGCCAATAATAAAAGTGATGCTCAAAGAGGTTAAAGCATTTGTCCAAAGGAACCTGGGCTGGATCCCAGGTCTCCTGATTCCTACTGCAAACAATCCTCCACATACTACACAAAGCTCTTTCGGGTCTATGGAGGCACCTGTGGGAGGGGAACCTTCTTTATGTTTTCTCCAAGACTCTCTTCTAGAATCTAACCTTGGAACTGAATGGTTAGACTACAAGTAGTTGCTGAATCTAGCTGATCTTCCTGTGGCTAAGGAGTTGTTTGCTTGTTTTTTGAGACAGAGTTTCGCTCTTGTTGCCCAGGCTGGAGTGCAGTGGTGTGATCTCGGCTCACTGCAACCTCCGCCCCGCCAGGTTCAAGTGATTCTCCTGCCTCAGCCTCCCGAGTAGCTGGGACTATAGGCATGCACCACCACGCCCTGCTAATTTTGTATTTTTAGTAGAGATGGGGTTTCTCCATGTTGGTCAGACTGGTCTCAAACTCCCAACCTCAGGAGATCCACCCGCTTCAGCCTCCCAAAGTGCTAGGATTACAGGAGTGAGCCACTGTGTCCAGCCCAGGAGTTTTTAATAAAATGAGCCAGTAGTTAATTGATTTACAGACTGTGAGGATAATGTACGACTTCTTTTCATCTTATAGAAAGTGAGAGAAAAATAATTGTGGTAAATCTGCTCTTTCTGCATTCATCAGATTTAAGATCTACCTATTTTAAGGTGCAGCTCTGTTTCAGAAAGGGATGAGATATTTAAAAAACTGCATCTAGAATTAATGAACTGTGCAAAAATATAATTTTTAAAAATCATTTGTCAACCTATTACTGTGTTCCAAACACTGGGTTAAGCACTGTAAAGTTGTTATAATATCACTGCAATAAACCTATGAAATAGATAGTATCCCCATTTTATAGATGAGGAAATTGAGGCTTAGAATGGTGAAGTTACTTAGTGGCACTCAAACGAAGCATGGCTGACTCCAAAACTATTGATCTGTAACTGCTGTACTAATCTTCCTCTCACATGGCTCAGGGCTTCATTTAAGAAATAATTTATGACAGTTCCCTCTCCAAGTGAAGGTTTTAGAAATCAGACAATTTCATGATATCAGTTTTATTTCCAGTTTATCAAAACTGGTTATTGGTTGCACAAAGTCAGTTACATGGGACTCTCCCCTAGTCCCATAGTCTTAATTGCTATCTATATTTAACTGACCCCCAAATTTATATTCCAACTGTGACCTGTCTCCTGACTCCACTACAATGCAGACAGTCACCTTCTCAACACCTCGCCTGGGATGTTCAATGTGCATCTCAAATGTAAAGTGCCCCAAAGAGTCCTTCCTGTGCTATCCTTCCAGTCTTTTCCATTGCAATGGCACTAGCAAGTTCACAGATACTTGGACGAAAATCCTAGGTTTCCTCCCAAAATTCTGAATTCTCTCACAGTCTAAATCCAACATCTAGCCAGTTTTGTGTACTCGATCTAAAATATATTCCAGATCTCACCCTTTCTTATCTTGTCCACCACTGACCCCCTCATCCAACTACCACCATCTCTTGTCCAGATCTGGACAACTGCAGCAGCCTTCTAACTGGTGTCCTCTTTCAAATCTCACTTGCCATAGTACATTCTCAACCCAACAGCAGAGGAATGTTTAAAAAACTGTAAATGTAATCAAAACTCTTTCCTCCCTTCTATTAGAAGAAAATTCAAATTCTTTACCACAGAGACTGCTATACTTCATCTATACTTCCCCACTGAGTACACAGCTCTCCAACTGTATTGCTTTCAGTTCTCCTCTCTACCCTCTTTGACCACATGGGCTTGCTTTCCTCCCCTCAAACACATCACGCTTGTTTTCACTTTGGGAAATTTACATTTGATGTTCTCTCCTTTCCTGAAATAACCTTCCCAAGGTCTGACTGTCATGACTGGCTCTTTTCATTCAAATCTCAGATTAAGTTTCATTCTGCCAGAGAGTATTTTCTTAAATACACAAAATTAGAGTAGCCACCTTCTCACACAACTTTATCCCATCCCTGTTTGATTTTTTTTGTACTATTTTGAGTGATCTTATATATTTGCTGTGCGAGTAGGAAATTATACCTTGATATATTCCCAATATTTTGAACACTGCCCAAAATATATTTATGAAACAGGCAAATTATTAAGTTTTGTTTCTTTGAACACTCATAGAACTTAGTTTGGTACTTCATATAGTATTGATATTAAACAAATATTTAATCAAATTTATTTTTGCCAAGGAAAATTATTAATCTGTTTCATTTCTGGCTTGGCTTTTTTTTTGGCATATACCATATTAGATAAACTTGATAGAAAAACAGATACAGATGCATTGTCTGTTTCACTTTTAATCTAGAAGAGGCAGAGCTTACCTAATTTCATAATTATTAAGTTGCTTGATTGCATTCTTGGCTTCCAGTTTATTTGAGAATGTTACAAATGCATATCCTCTATTGTTGCCATTAAAATCCATCATCATTCTCATTTCATAAATTTTACCGATCTGCAAGTAATAGAAATAGAAAATTTATATATTTGTACTTCTGAATGTATGTGTGCGTGTGCTGATACACACACACACACACACACACACACACACACACACAATGTTTTCTGAAGTTTGCCTCCTGCCAGTACTACTTGGCATTTGCATCCCATGTGGAATGGTTTGCATATTTTCATGTGGGTTCAGATCAGTTATCTGATTCATGAGATAACTTAAGTTAAATAAAATGTGTCCAAGTGACATTTCAGCCTGAGTTAACAGAATGTGTTTTTAGTAGAGCAAATTACCTTTCATCACATAATTATCTGGAACATCTTAGAGACATGAAAACACATTTTATCATAAGTATAGTTTCTTACACCTGTAATTCCAGCATTTTGGGAGCCCAGGGCAGGTGGATTGCTTGACCCTGGGAATTTGAAACCAGTTTGGGCAAGATGGTGACACCCTGAGTCTACAAAAAATACAAAAATTAGCTGAGCATGGTGGCACGTGCTTGTAGTCCCAGCTACTTGGAAGGCAGAGGTGGGAGAACTGCTTGAGCCCAGGCGATCAAGGCTGTAATGACACATAATTGTGCCACTGTACTCCAGCCTGGAAAACAGAGCAAGACACTGTCTCAAAAAAAATAATAATAAATAAAGAGCACTTTTTTGATGTATATGTCCATTCCCTCTAAATTGTCCTCTGAAATCTCCATAGTTTTATTTCCAGTTGGTCCTATTCTATCATTGATCTTTAAAACAAAATACAAGAATGCTCATTCACCAAACTAACTTCTTAGCTGTCATTTTCCTCAGCCATGACATCAAAATGAACACAGGTATGTTTCAGCGTATGATCTGGGAGGCTTGTCATTTTCTCAGTCTGCTGGCTGAATATAAATGCTAGCCTAAATGCTACCAACTCAGGGCCAGGGCCTCCAGAGCAGGAGAGAACTCTATTCCCCTGGCTATAGTGACTCTACTTGCCCATATAATACACCCTTCTACCCCCACAACTGTCCTGCAGCAGTCTAGACTGAGCAATTTACTATTGCTGGCTGCTGTAGGAAGGGTTACCTAAATAAATATGATGGGGCATGTCTGGAGAGAAGTGCTATTAAGCACATGCCATTACCTTTGTGGTTGGCCACTTCTCAGCTCAGCCTTACCCTACCCCACCCCCATGTATTCAGTAATGAACACCTATTTCTTCTGGGCTTATTAGGAAAGAGTTTGCGCACGTTTCATCTCTATGTTTCAGGTGTTTCTTGATGCTCATTTTCAGATTCAATGTATAAGATTCTTACAGAATTAAGTCCTCATCATTTGCCCTTGTGCCAACAGGGATTGTATGTGTAAAATTAGGTGCAGTTCTGAATCTGAGGCTGTTAACATACACACAAAATTTGATTTTGGCATTTAGGCAGAGAGCTAAATTATCATATTTACTAAATTTTTCAGGAATGTGCTTGTTGCTAAAAACTGCTCGGTAAATTATTAAAAATGAAATTGAATTTTGTATTCTTCCTTTAATTGAAAAGCCATATTCTTAATCTTCCTGATGCATTTAGGTAGATGAAAAATTCAGACTTGGAGAAGATTTCATTCTGGATTATAGGTACATGTTGAGCCATGTCAAACGTATACATTCTTTTAAAATGAAAATGTACTTTATAAAATCATACTAAAATGTCAAGTTGGAGCAATATCTAATTGTAGACAGGTTGTTGTAGGATTATTGTAGATGGATAGTTTGTAGTTAGATGGCATGACAGTGGAAAGATTGGGGAAGAAGATATAGATTTGAAAGTCATTAGAAATAGTAGCAATTCAAGCTGTCAGTAACAGGACAAGAGCTAGGTCAAGGCAGTGATTATAAAGGGACAATCACTAGAAACTTTGTCCATAATTGACGAATGGTAATTTGAATAGAAACAATCATTGACCAAAAAGACTGAGAATGAAAGCAAAGTGAAGAGAATAGTATTTTTCCCTTGAAAGATAAGAAAAATTAAATGTTAAACTTGGACTCACTTTTTCACATAATGGTATAAGCTCATCCTCAAAAAGGTCTCGGGGAAGTTTTCCAATAAAAATTTCACAGCCTCTTTCAGGGGGTGCAGCATCCCAGCCAGGTGGAGGGCCACCATATTTTCTTTGTCCATTTTCCTGCAAATCCAGGGCAGGTGTGAAGGAGAGAAGAAAATGATCAAGTCTTTAATTCAGTTTCCTTGAGTATTTTTCAAAATCATTTCACAATAAGGAATGTATTTATCATTGACAAATAATAATAGTGGACTGGTTAAAGGAGAAAAAATAAAGCTTTTTATGTGGATTATAGTACCACACTCTGTGCTTCAGCAGCTTGCTTGAGAAAAACATTGTGAAAACTTGTAAACTGCTAGGCCAATATGTTTTTTTTTTCTTTTTTAATTTCATTAAGTAAGAATACTTAAGAGATCTATCTTCTTATCACATCAAAGAGTGAACAGATCAGGGTAATTAGTATATCCATCCTCTCAAACATTTATCATTTCTTTGTGTTGGGAACGCAAGGAATAGCCTTCTTCTAGCTATTTACAACTACATATTGAGAATATATTATTGTTAACTGTAGTCATCCTGCAGTGCTATAGAACACTAGAACTTACTCTGGCTGAGGCGGAAGGATGTGTTGAGCCCAGGAGTTCATTACTAACTTCTACAACGAATATTTTAAGAAGTTTTATGCTATATAATAATACATGTTGTGGAAAAAACATGGTGACATGTAAAGTAAAAAGAAAAATTATCCAATGTATGACTCTACTCATCCTTAGAAGTAGTTACTGTTTAAAATTTCATAGGCCTTTTCAAATATTTTTCTATGTAGATTTTTAAAAGACATATATTAGTTGTTTAAAGACACTGTTTTGTATGACAGTTGTTTGTTGTTTAAAATTGAAGTAAAGCAGCTTGTGGTGTCCCTGTTAAATCTTCATATACACCAACTTGAGTCTTTCTCAATTATTTTGTAAGTGTTAGCACAAAGGTTCTTTGGATCACATTATTTAATTGATGTCTGTGGTGTCTGTGGTCATGATCACTTTTTTATTTATAATAATTCCTACAATGTTTTTAAAAATAGTAATTTAAAAAATGTCATATGAGTCTTCTACTTTACCTGGATTCCTTTTTTTTTTTGTTTTAAACAACTGAGTATGTTTTCAATCTAACTGAATATTTAAATTTTTGCCTAGAGAGTTCTTGTATTTTTTTCTTACCCTAATATTCTTGTCCAGTAGTAAAACTTTGATATCACAGAGAAACCTGAGAAATGGAAGTCTTTATGCTTATAGAAAAAACCCCAAACCTTGGTAATTTAGTGGTTTATATCTCAACCAATAATTACCTTAAATATGTGCAATCGATATTTTCAGACACATTTATTTACTTATTTTCAAACAAATACCTATATAACACTTACTATATGTCAGATATTGCTCTATCATTACTTAATGTCATGGATTAAGGACTGTTATTATCCCATTTACACAAGGTACCAAAGCCCAGATAAATTAAGTAATTTGTCAAAGTCACATGGTGGGGAAGTGGAGAAGCCAGAATTTGAACCCAGGCAGTCAGGCATCAAAGTTCATCAGCTTAATTTCTCCGTTTTGCTCCTTTGATGTATGGAAGCCACTTACAACAGATACATACATTAAAATATTCCCTATTGGTGTGGCATGGTGGCTCACGCCTATAATCCCAGGACTTTGGGAGGCCGAGCTGGGTGGACGGCTTGAGCCTAGGAGTTTGAGACCATCCTGGCCAACATGGTGAAACCCTGTCTCTACTAAAAATACAGAAATTAATTGGAAATGGTGGCACGTGCCTGTAATCCCAGTTACTTGGGAGGCTGAGGCATGAGAATCACTTGAACCCGGGAAGCAGATGTTGCAGTGAGCTGAGATGGTGTCACTGCACTCCAGCCTGGGTGACAGAGCGAGACTCTGTCTCAAAAAAAAAAAAAGAGAGAAAAAGAAAAAAGAAAACAAAAGAAAACAAAAGAAAACAAAAGAAAAGAAAGAAAGAAAGAAAGAAAGAAAGAAAGAAAGAAAGAGAAAGAAAGAAAGGAAGGAAGAAAGGGCTGGGCACAGTGGCTCATGCCTGTAATCCCAGCATGTTGGGAGGCCGAGGTGGGCGGATCACTAGGTCAGGAGATCGAGACCATCCTGGCTAACACGGTAAAACGCCATCTCTACTAAAAATACACAAAATTAGCCGGGCATAGTGGCGGGCACCTGTGGTCCCAGCTACTCAGGAGGCTGAGGCAGGAGAATGGTCTGAACCTGGGAGGCGGAGCTTGCAGTGAGCCAAGATCGCGCCACTGCACTCCAGCCTGGGCGACAGGGCGAGACTCTGTCTCAAAACAAACAAACAAACAAAACTCCTTATTTATGAAAAAATATATCATGCCATTAAATAGTAAATTCCCTACTACAATTTAAAATCATTTTAATTTCCAATCATTTTATTACATAAAATATTTGGAAAAATGTATCTCTTATTTCTAACCCCAAAATCCAAAATTCAAAATTTTTCAGTGTCAACATCATGCCACAAGTAGAAAATTCCACACTTGGCCTCATGTGAGGGGTAACAAAATTATTAAAAACATTGTATAAAATCACCTTCAAGCTATGTGTGTAAGGTGCATATGAAACATAAATGAATTTTGTGTTTATACTTTAGGTCCCATCCCCAAGATATCTTTATTATGCATATGCAAAAATTCTAAAATTAAAAAAAATCTGAAATCCAAAATACTTCTGGTCCTAAGCATTTTGGATAAAAGATACTCAACCTGAATTGCCAAATTACCATCCTCCTCCCTGGACAAACTCCATTTGGGTGACAATGATTCCTCTGAGCCAATTTTTGTATATCTTTGATGTGTATAACATTCAACAGATTATAGAAATAAATTTACTATACATTCGGTGGTATTTTTACCCTTCAAGTTGAGGAAACCAAACTTTCATTCCATAATAGTAAAGTGGTAATTCCAGAAATTCTGCTTTGAAAAGCTTTGGTAGTTTGAAAATAAATAGACAACCCTCAGATTGACCTTTTAAAATGTATCTTCAACTTGCTTGATTGCTATAATTGCTGAAAATGCCAACTATTTATGCGTAAGGTGTGTATAGCAGGATTTACCTGCTTATAATCTGAAATAATTGGTCAAGAAAGCATATTGTCTTTTTTTTTAATAAACACATGAAAAAAATCTAAAGAATATTTTTTGAGACTGTAAAGAGTCTGACCAGTTCAGGAATGCCCTGCAGTTCACTCAGTGGGGGAGATTTGCTCTGTGAGCCACCCACTGCTCTTGGAATGTACCAGTAATGGAAGTTCAGATCAATTTAAGACAGGCACTAGGCATTAGTCATGGGGTTAGAATAGCTGTCCATTACTCAGAAAGGACAGTTGGGTTCTAGGTTGCTAATATGTCAGGCACTATTTTCTCAGTTGAGGAGTTTAAAATAGATAAAGCCCAGTTATAACTGGTCTTTTCCCTCCTAGCTGATGTCTTCCTCAAGGGAAGCATTCTCCCCAGCAGCACAAATGTATTAATAGTTCAGACTAAAAGAATATAGATTTTTGCTTTTCATGAGAGAATGTTTATTAAACTCTGGAAACTTTTATTTTTCCAATCAAAGACTTAGAAACCTTTGTCTCTCTAGAGTCATATACAAATAGGTGGAAAGTCTTCACCTATGTAAATTAACAATTGAGGACACAATTTCTAACTATAAATCTAGTGGCTTTAATTTAAATATTGGATGCTGAGCCTACCCAATTACTCAGTTCATATGTCAAGATTACTTGGAAATTTCCTCCTATCACAGATATTTCAAGTCCTTCATGATGGAGCCATTGAGTCTTCAAGAGATTATGTCTATCATCTTCTTGACCTTGGATAAAACCCACAAAACCTTCCTCAATAAATCATTCTAAGCCATAAGTCTTAGCATGGAGGTTGAATGAACTGAGTTAATTTTGGCCACTGAGCATTTGAACTTGTTATATACCTGGGGAATCTGGGCAAAAATTGCCTTCTCCTATAGAACTTAAAAATGACAGACACTTGATTTTTCCAGCCTTCCTTGCAGCTGGGGCCATCATGGTTATTGGAAAACCATGGTTTCCTTTACTAAACCATGGACAATCATGGTTTCCTTTACTAAAATTGAGTTCTGATGCAAAAGTCACAAATGGTGCAAACTTTAATTTTGAGCATTCTGTGATGGTAGATAACATTTTCTTATCATGACAAATATGTGATGTGGTTTTGGGTTTTGTTGTTAAAAGCTTACCCTTGAATCGGATTCTCCACATCTAAAGTTTCTGTGAACCAGTATCCTTTCAATAAACTCTTTCCTACTTAGCCAGTTAGAGTTAGCTTCTGTTAGTTGCACATGATAGTAATGGCAGCAAAAACAACTATCTCCAATTGAGTTAGGTATTTTGCTGAGTGTTTTACATTCATTTGATCTTCTCAACAAATCTATGAGGATGCTACTACTATTATTTTCATTTTATAGACAAGGAATCCAAGGCATAAAATATGTCCAAATTCATACAAGCAGTAAACAGCAGAGACAAAATATGAAGACACTTGTAGTTACATTATCTCTCTTTCATTTTTACATTAACACAATATACTAATTTTATAGAGGAGGAAACTAAGGCCAGAGATACATAACTTGTCTAATATCACACTGGTTTAATTTATTGTAGAAAACACTAGAATAAAGGTCCTATCATTGATTTTTCCAGGCTTCCTTGCAGTTCTCAATTTGGTGAACTTTATGGCCTATATAGTATTCAAAAATTGTGATGATTATTCTTCTCAGGCTTACCAGCCTCTTAAATCCTCATGTTGTGTGTTACGTTTATTTTCCTGCTCAACTTCACCAATCATGGACACCAGATGTTTACTGTTTCCCATAAACAAGCTCATTCAAAACTGGAAGGACATTAATTAATGAACCCTCATTCAGCCTGTTTTTTCCTGAGTAGTAATTTCAGTCTCTTTAATGGCTCTTTGGAAAGTTCGTATTTCCAGTTTGTAATCATCTTTGTGGTTCTCTTTGGTTCTTTGTTTCTTTTTTCCCCTCTCCGTAGGAGGGAAGAAACTGTGTATTTTTCATAACTAAACTTGTTTCAGATGTTTTCCTATGCATTTTCGAATTGATCAGGTTTGTATTTATTCTTGCTCCTGTTCCCTTGGGTCCTGGCCAATCTACGCTTGCTTAGTAGCACTTCAAGCCTTTACCAGCTTGCCAGTCACCAGGACCATGCCCAGAACAGTGGTTCTGTGACCAAACTCCTGTGTATGGTTCTTAAAGTTGACAACAAGGCATGGAGGTCATCTCTCTTGACTATGTCACTTGTGTTTCATGAGTCTATACTGCCTTTTCCTAGTTATTGATTTGTGAAATTGAATAAAAGTATTTATTAGACATTATTTCTATTGTATTCCACCTATATACTAGATCCTTCATTATGTGATAGATAGTTTAAGGAAAGTCTATGGGGCCTTAAAATGTACCAACAGGACCCTCTTCAATGTGATTTTGCCTTTAGTCTCTTCCAAAGTTTTTATTGCCTGAGGACAACAAACAGTGCTGTAGGGAATATTCATTTTTAAATTGTATATAAAATAATTATCTATTTTGTATAGTTTGTTCACCTTCACATCTTGTTAAAATCAGTGATTTCATGTTGGTAAAATCTGTTTTTAGACTGGAATTTAGAAAGCAGAATTTATTTGGCTTAATATACTGTAGAAGTTGGCATTATTTCTATTAGTTATTTTCTACAATTTTTACAAGGTGTATGCCAGATATAATGTTCCTAAAGTATGAAGAGTAATAAAAATTGTGATATAAAGACTAAATGAGTTGTGGAAATTTTGTAGAGATGTAGAATTAGAAACAATGACAGGAAAAGCTAGGATATGAACATAATATTCAAATATTAATTTAGCTTTATCATCATACAGCCTAGAGTTTCCAAAATATATGAGGATGATATTAGGTAGTTTATAGGTCAATATTTCTTATTTTAATAATTATGCATTTATTTTAATGTACATTAGAAAAAGCATAATTAGCACACAAAACCTGTGGGTTTCTTACATAAGTGAGAAAAAGTTTACTTTTAAAGTAAATGACTAAAAATAGTGAGTTGATTGAATGAATTCTAAATAAATAATATTGGTGGCATGTATCTATGGCAAAAATCATGAAGAAAGATGCAAATGGCTCTTGGCTCTTGAAAATTCATTTATTGGTTTCACTTTTTACAAAGCCCTGACATTTTTATCTTTAAAAAATGTATGATATGGTTCTTCTGAGGAAACAACTATTAGTAAATTATGAGTCACCTTCCTGTTTCACTTGGGAAGGTTGACTATTAAAAGTCTATTTCCAAGGAAATTAATCCTAATTTCACTTGAAGTTGTTAACTATCTTATGGAAGCAGAAGCAATTTATGTTATCAAATTGATGCATTTAATAACATATTTTAATAATTTCCCTTTATGTTTAAGGATTATTCAGTATCAACATTTGAAGCATTCAAAAGAAAATAGGCTTTTTAAAATGTTGTGTTTTGCAAAACTTCTTATAATGTAAGATTTTGGTCATTCATAAGAATATTGAATTTGAAAATAGACAAAATTAGAAAACAAAACATTTTTTCTTTCAAAATTACAAAACAGAAAATTTTTTTGAGTGTTTTTCAAAATTAGAAAACAAAAAGCATTTGTGTGTGTGTTTTTCTATAAAAGAGAATCTGTAAAATGCCAAGTCACTTCTACGACCCTCTGCTTACCTTTTCCAGCAAAGTTTGCATAATGATGGACTGCAAAGCATTATTTCCTTTTTTTTGAGGTCAGGAATTGCTGTGCTCATGCTCACTTCTGGCTCTGGGCACGTGCCCAGACACACTGCTTCCATCTATAGGAACCTCTAAATTCCTTCCAAGAAGTAATTAGATGACAACTTTAGTCATTCCTTAATCCATTTGGGGCTTTTATCCTTACAGAATGTGTAATTTATTCAATAGGCCCAATAACATTTTGTTTACTTACAGATACAATTTGCCTTTCGGAATTAATTATTATTATTGCCTCTAGATCTCATTAAGTTGTGAGAAACTTCCCATGTGCAGATAAAGACATAATAAAGAACATTTGGTTTGGTTAACTGCTCTTCTGTCTTTTCCTAGTTCAACATATGCCAAACATAATCCCATCTAATGCACCGGGTTTGAGGCATGTAAGGAATTTTATACAATCATTCTTCTCCTTACAACACCCTTGTGAATTTTAATTTCTGACAAGCTGAGGGACTCGGCAAGGCACTAAATCTTTTCTGACTTTATTTCATTTATGAAGGAGTAGGAGGGTTGACTAGGTGATTGCAGTAGTCCTGTGGGAGTGTGAGGGTGCTTGTGAAAGGAAGGCTGAATTTGATATCATGTTTAATGGAGGAAAATGTTCATAGGATGTTTTGTGAGTTAGTCAATTGGAGCCTTAAGAGGATGTTGTTGTAATTTTAAAAATCAGTGTATCTCCAATTCCATGTCCAATTGACACCTATTCTGTTAATTACCTAATGACTTTATGCGTGGATTCACTTTGTTACTTAAATAAACTTATACCAAAAAGAAAATATATATTGTTCTTATAAGTGGAATATCAGTATCATTTCCCACAAATGGACGGTAATTATAAAAACAATTGCAAACAAGGGAAATCATGATCAACTTCTACCTAGACACTGTCATCTACTAAAAGCTCTGCGTTCTAGTCCTGCTCTCGGGACTTAAAAAGGTTAGCAGGGCCTGGAGAGGTGTTTAAATCATACCTCCAACAACTAACTTTCCTCACCTAAAAGCCTGAAGGAGAACTGAAAGTGGAATAATTCTCTCTATATGGGATTGGATGTTATTTAATGATGTGGACAATGTACCATTTAATGTCATCTTGGTTCCCTGCTCAGCCCCTCTTTAACAATGTTATAAAGGATCACAGCTGCTGAAATCCTATACAAATTCATGACTGCAAGGAACTGTGATCTCAATAATTTCTTCTTTGCCTAGCTTGCTTGAAAGCTGTCTTTGTATCTCATAATGGTAAGCTTTCAGGTTCTGATGGTGAAGAGTCACTTAATTTTATTTGCCAATCAGTACTAACAAATGAATAGCACTTTTAAAAAACTGTGAATTTGTCAGCACACACAGTCCAAAGTTCACAAGACCTGGTCATGCTTCTGCATGTTTGGGTCATGAGGTTCACACCAATTTTTAAGCTGATAAAATAGAAAAACTCTGTCCTTCTAGCTTAAGGGAAAACACTACCTTGTGTAGTTTATGAAGATTTTGAATCTTGTATCAAAGACTTCACATATAGCCAACACCCTATGAGGCTATTTGAGGAGAAATTCATTGCTATTTGGAAATAATAGCTTCTGGAACATATCTGTGTTCCTTGGGGTAATGAAGTTCCCACAAATGTTGGGCACACACCCCCTCCATAAAGGGATTCGCAGAACTGCTCCTTCATTTGGAGTCTTTTGCACCATGCTATGGCATCTCTGGCTAGTAGAAGAAAGATTGCTTCTGAGCTTTAAAATAAAGTTGGCCTCTGGGTGGCTGGGGTGATAAGCTTAGGGAAGCATGACCCTGTGATGATCTACTGGTCCCATCCTGTTCTGATGCTTATTGCTACCTATTTAAAGAGTTGGTATCCATGCACTTGGTGAATGACCTAAGTCCTTGGATAGCAGGGATGTGAGCAGGTGGCGAGAACAGGCAATAGAGGAAAAAGTAGGACCCAGGAGCTATATTTTGCCATGAAGTCAAATTCCTATTTCTGTCCCTAGGATTTTTTGTGCAGTGGTTGAAAAAGAATGTCAATGCCACAGTGTTTTTCCATCTGCTCCTCTTGGAGCCAGTCTAGATGAAGCCAATTAGTAAACCCGAGGCCCTCAGGTTATTTTTATTGTATTATTTATAGGAAAAAAATGCCATTTGAGAAACATTCAATTAAGATTACCTAAATACATTATCTCAAACCGGAAAGATGGATGGAGAGTTAACTTAATTTGGGGCACTCTTCGAAGAGGAACGGTATTCTAGTTAGACTTGATCTAGCGCCATCCTTTGTACCTGATGGCTTGTATTTGCTGAAGAATTGAATAAATTAGAATCAAAACAAGTGATTTCATTGAAATTCCATACAAGAGAGTATACGTAGAAAGGAAAGTGTGAGGGGTGGGAATAGAATACTGTACTTTGTTCCTAGCTTGAGGAGATTGTTCCCAGGACACCAGGTCCATGGCTGATTAATAGAGGAAGGGAAAGATGAAAGCCACCTACTTATCTGCTGTAATCTCACTAGATCTTTGAGATTAAGACACATTAATGTCTTCACTACCCAAAAGTGTTCTGTATTTTATAAATATTTTCTTTAAGGAGTACTGCTTGTGTGTTCCATCTTCCAGGGATACTTGGCTCCTTGCAAAGTACATTTGCTCTCGTCTTACAAGTATTAGCTTCCACTGTCATTTTTCCTAAAGAAGGTCACCTGGCTTTCTGTTTTATACAACCTGGTTTATCACATTCTTGGCACTTACCATGATCTGTAATTACTTTGCTTGTTTCTTTATCTGTTTATTTTCTATCTTTTCTATGAGACTAATCTTCATAAAGGTAGAAACGTGTCTCTCTTTGTGGTGGAATCAACAAATGAATTAATAAATGAATGAGTGAGGGCCCAGTGCTTGAGTTGGTGTGAATAGGCAGCACAAGAAGGGATGCACCTACTTCTTTTACAGAAGATTAAATACTAAATTAAATAATTTTCTTTAAAACCTAGACTCGCTTCTAATATAGAGCGCTAGGTTAAGGAATCAGGTTGGAGTCAGCAATTTTTTTTTTTTTTTTTTTTTTTTTGGTAAAAGGCCAAATAGTTGATATTTTAGGTTTTTTTTTTTTTTTTTTTTAAATCCTTAAAATGTAAAAAAACAAAATTCATAGCCTGCAATTACTACATAAACAAGCTGTAGCCACATTTGGTTCGTGGGGCATAGTTTGTTGACCCCTAATTTATAATTGTGTACCTCTGGGGCTTATTTTCTAACTGCAAAACAGAAGGATTGGACTATATCAATATTAAACAAATTTCATGTATATGTAGAATTAGAAAGAATAGTCTAGTGAACCTAGGGACTTATCACCCAAATTTAATCATGAAGTTTTTTTCCATGATTTTTTTCTTTTTTTTTTTACTCCTGACTGAATGACCCTTAGAAATCTTTTCTGCCTTATGAGATTTTTTCCTTGTAATAAAAATGATCTGCATTTATTATAGAAAATTTAGAAAATGAAGAAGAGCATCAGACAAGAAAAACTAAGGGATTAAACTTTGTTATTTTATAATATTCTTTATTATATGTGAATAATTTCTTAAAATATTCTTCACAAATTTATATGTAGCCTTCAGATTTTTAACTAAATGTTAAAATTTGAATACTTCTCCATGTCTTTGAAAATTATTTGAAATCATAATTTTATATTATTATATAATTTGAAAATATAAGAATGATCATAGTTTATTTGACCATTAATATTATATTGGATATTTAGGATATGTTTAAGTTTAAATTTCTAAAAAATTATAAATTTCAGCATGATGAACATCGTTATGCCTAAATGTTTGTCCTCATTCCTCAGGTCAAAGAGCATTGTCACTTTTAAGGCTCTATACAGAAAATGCTGATCTTTTTGGTACTCACAGCTGTATTGCTCATTTGAGGCTGCCTTATGTTGTTGTTGTAAATTTTGGATGCATTCTTTTTCATTTCACCCACTTTATATGAACTTTAGGTCAGGCACTGCATTTTTATATTCTATAATCCCAAGACCTGGCACTAATACATTTTTCTCAATAATAGGGACTAAGGAAGCAAAAGAGAAGAACAAAACAAAACAAAAAATCTTGATGTTTATGTAGGATGATCACTGGTTTACGAAAGCAAGGGGACTATCATACCTCATAAAAATTGTGCTGTAACGATTTTTAGAAAATAGATTACCAATAGGATAACTGGGTAAACAAAGCTAATACACACCACATTTTAAATTTTATATATATTGGATATAATGAGTCTATTTTTAAAAATATTCAGACTACTTGAGGGTGATTTTTATTAAATATACATTTAGGTTTAGTTGCAGTAGAATTAAACTTGATGTCAACAGACACCACATTGGGTGGAAGTGTATATGTTTCTGAATATGCTCACCTATGAGAATGTATTTTTCTAGTTCTAAGGAGAAAATTTCATGTGGGAGGAGCATCACATATCATAGTTTATGACCCACATCATTAACGCATTCTTGAGGAAAGGCTCATCATAATGTGATATTTTTTTGTCTTTAGCTATCAGAGAAGTATATACTAGCTTTTGAAATTTGTAAGTACAGTTAAGAATAAAAAAGTAGAGAAAAGAATCCCCATACATAATTCCATTACCCAGAGACAAAGACTATTCACATGTTAATACTGTAGCATACTTTCTTTAAAAATATTTTTACAAGGCATAATACAATTATGAAGCTTAAAGTTTAACTTAGTAACATTACACAGTTTTCATCAAGAGTATGTATTGAATACTTACTATATGCGGGGTACTGCATTACGTCTCTTTTATTCTCTAAAGTACTTTGATAAAAACTTCAGCCATCAATATCCAAAGATATTTAATTATTTTAAAAAGAGATCACAAAGCATATTTCCAAACCCTTAGAAGCAGGCATTATTGCATCAGTTGCTACATAAAAGCCTGGGTCACGTTATTAAGTAACTCACAAAATTCTATTTTTGATAGCTGTATTTGTCCTGCTAGTGATAAGAGAGCACAAATTCATCACCCTCTGTTTTTTGAATTCTTGTTCTGCAAATATTCAACATTCAATATCAGAGACTGCAAAGATACAGCAAAAGTAAATCCTTCAAACCCTAATTTACAAAATTCTAAACTATCATTTTATGGGTATGCTTCTTGGATTGTATTAGGATGTTTCTTTATCTTAATTTTTGTACAAAAACTTTTTTAAAAAAGTAAACTTGATGTTCTTAATGTTGCCTTTCTTTCTTTCTTTTTGGATAATCGTATTAATCTTTTGTATAATCCAGAGTAGGAAGGCTGAAGTATTAGTAAGACTAAAGGATTTTCCTTAAGTTACAAAGAGTTTGAAGTTGTGTTTCTACATATTTAGGCTACCCTTTCGACCGAATAGTCCAGTGTGCTAACCAGTGAGTAGATTCAGAAGATACTAGAATCACAAAAATCATGGACAAATAGTTGGGTATTTCCTAGCTGATCTTCCAGGAGATTATGGCCTGGAGATGTTAAGGGATTTATTCAAGATTGTACAACTCATATGCGGTAGGGACTAGATTAGATTATAGGCCTTCTGATTTAAAGTCTTGGATAATTTTCCACACTCTGTAGCCAAAATCAGGAGGCATTCTTCAATTCATTCAAAATGATTGAATTATATAGGTATTTACATTTTTGATTAGAGGACTTAGGTATAGATAACTAGCTTTTGGAACATTAGGCTTCTACATTATTGAAGCACTTCTGATTCAACAGTCATGCTGCTAATGAATATTACTTAAAGTGAATCATGTTACAAAGTTTAGGTTCCAAAAAAATGTTTTTCATATGCTGTAGCATGCTGATCTCTAAAATTGCAATCTTAAAAGTCACATTGCAACAACATTATAACAACTCTTAGTTTTCTGAGTCTAACCAAAAATTTTGGCCAATAACAACAGAATCTTCATCTCATAAGTTACCTAAATTGTTTGTGCCTTGTTTTCTTCATCAGGAAATTGGGGATAAACATAGTAGCTACCATACAGTGTATTGTAAGGACTAGATGAGTTAGTATACACAAAGCAGTTAGAATATTTTTTGTTATTATTATTATTATTACAATTAACTTGTGGTCTAAGTCGTTATTATAAACATTTTCTGAATATTATTGAATAGATAAGATCAACATAAAATAAAGATTGGCCATATATTTTAGGAGTATTTTATATGTAAATATTTTAAATTATACATATCATTATTTTCTGTATCAGATAAATGTCCTTAAATCATAACATTTGACCTTACAATGGAGTAAAATTTTTTAATGGAGTAAGATTATCTCCATTGTTATTTGGGTCTCTTTTCAAAAAAATTATTTGCAAGCTTTCTTCATAGCTTTAACAGTAATATGTTACAATTGCCCTTCAGAATTTTTTATATGATTACTGTTAGTAACTGAATACTATTTCATCTGTAACAAGATTTTAAGATGGAATTGGACTTTTAAAATGGATGCATAATGATTGTACACATTTAAGGAGTCCATGTGTGATATTTTAATATATGCATACAATATGTAATGATCAAATCAGGTAAGGATCAAATCAGGTTATAGGATATCCTTCACCTCAAACATTTATTTGTGTTAGGAACATTTCAAATCTTCTCTTCTAGCTATTTTGAAATATGTAATAAATTATCATTAACTCTGGCCTCTGGTTTAGGTATGAAACCAAGTGACTAGAGCGCCAAGCAGGATGAGAAGGTAGCAGGAAACTATTTTTCTCTTGTTAACTGTCACCTTACACCCTAAGCTTAGAAAAGAGATTGGAGAGTTTGAGAGGAGTTTTGGAATTTACAGAAAGATATTTGGAGACAACTGCTGTTGTGTTGTGAGTCTTAGTTCCCCCTAAGTGGGAGGGACTGGGAGGCGCCTATCATTTTGCCTAAAGCAGGAGAAACCACTTAAACAGTTTGATGTGTATTCCCTGCCTTTGTGTTTGGGGAACACACTAAGCTGGTGGGTCTAACTCAGTTCTGAAATCTCTCACTGTGAACAATGGGTTGGCCTGCAGCTTTGTTGTTGGCAAGGAGAGGTGGTTGCTTTGAGACACCTCAACTTCCAGATTTTGCTGGGTGTTTCCAGGGGTGTTTCCAGATTTTGCTAGGTGTTTCCACATTCCAGGGAATGCGTGTTTCCAGGGGACCAGAGTTTGGCCACATGTAGGAATTAATGATTATCTTCCATCCTCTCCATGAGGGCTGCTTCAAATATCAAAGAGAACCCAGCAGAAGGCTAGGTGTCTGAGGATCCTACAAAGAATCTCACAAGCTTCAATAACCTGTTAGGCCCAAGAACCCAATGCAGGTAGCTCAGTAAAAGCTTCCCTTCATCATTTCCTTTGCTTTTATTTCTCCCTTCTGCTTCCATCAGGAGTCAGAAATTGTAGTTACCAAACTGGTGTTGAAAAAGGAAAACACAGTGCAGAAAAACAGAAAAGAAATTATCCTCCACTCTGACATACTTGGGAAAGGGAAATAACTGTAACTTTGAACGATTTTATGTCTTTACTATTATTCCGAACGATCTAGTTTGGAATAACATCAATATGAAAAAATAACAATTTTTTTAATGAAGGATCTTTTATTACCTGGACGTTACCAGAAAAGTTATGAGACTTAACCTGAATTTCATCTGGGGGAAAAGGAAGAACCATTATCCAGAATTGAATTCAATGAAATTGACAATTTATATTGTTTTAAGATTATTTTTCATAAATTCTGCTTGTTGAGTATAATAATTACACATTCATAGTTCACTTAATAATTTTCTTATATTTATACATTTAAGTTTGTGATATGCATTACAGCTAATCTCACCCTAGACAGATTTATACATATTTCTATCTTATATTATGGGTCATTAGAAATACAGTTCCAGAAAGGGAACACTCTTATATGTAAATATTAACAGATTGCTGTTTGAAAGGCTTGAAATGTTTTCTATTTCCACTGTCTTTGCACAAATGTTTCTAATATCAAGAAGTTCAAAATTTTAAAAAGATTCAAAAACATTCTTGTTTTTATAACATTTATGAAAGTGTTGATTGCAAAAAGAAAGAAAACGTTCTTTTCAAAAGTTTATTAATGAGCCTGGAATAATTTGACTTTTAAGTATTAAAAAAACTAATATGTCAGTATCTCCATTGACTTAAACAAAACTTCAAAAAGTCACTTATGAAATAATAGAAACTTTTTGAAATCTTAAAAAAGACTAACACTCTTAATTAGGATGAAGAAAATAACTTTATTATTATATTATGTCTAACAAAGCATGCTATGATTTATAAAAATTAATTAAAAATAAATGTACATTTTGGCCGGGAGCAGTGGCTCACGCCTATAATCCCAGCACTTTGGGAGGCCAAGGTGGATGGATCACGAGGTCAGGAGATCGAGACCATCCTGGCTAACACAGTGAAACCCCGTCTCTACTAAAAAAATATATATATATATATACACACATACACACACACATACACACACACATATACACACACACACACACACACACACATACACACACACACACACACACACACACACACACACACACACACACATATACACATATATATATGTATATATGTGTGTGTGTGTGTGTGTGTGTGTATGTATATATATACACACACACAAAAATTAGTCAGACGTGGTGGTGGGCGCCTGTAGTCCCAGTTACTTCAGAGGCTGAGGCAGGAGAATGGTGTGAACCCGGGAGGCGGAGCTTGCAGTGAGCCAAGATTGTGCCACTGCACTCCAACCTGGGTGACAGAGCGAGACTCCATCTCAAAAATAAATAAATAAATAAATAAAATAAATGTAAAATTTGCAACTGACAAAGGAGCATCTAGTGAAAGGACACTATTGTATATTTTATTGCTAATCACACATGACATTTGAATTCATAGTAGTATCTAGATTTGGTTAAGTTGGGAAAATATGTGAGTGAAAGAAAATAGCTGAGAAATTAAAATATTTTGTCCTACTGTAGAAAAGCACCATTTTTCTCTTTAAATAAGATAATATATGTATCTAACACTACATTTTTTAATGCATTTTAGTTCTCTAAAAGAAGATATCATAAAGAGATACATATATATATATACACACACACACACACACAGAGATAATTTCTAAAAGACAGTGTCTACAAATAGACAGTTTTAAGATTGTGGTGTTTTATTTTTTCCTTTTACAAAATGCTGAAAGTGGAGAGAAGTTAGTATTACATATCCTAGACTGGATGAGCAAGTGTTCTGAGAAAATAAACTTCAGCAGCTAGACACAAAGCGTTCGTTCCTTGGATCCCACATGTAGAAGTCTTATGTGTGCAGTGATCTCTCTGGAAGCTAAGCCTGGTTCCTGCTGTAGTTTATTTTCTGCTGATTCCTGAAACACCAATGTGGTGCTACTTCACAGCGTTGGGTGGCAAATTCTAGCTGCCTTTTTGTGATAATCTCTATAACTGTGGACACTGATTCTGCGACAAGTTAAGGTTGAACTGATAACTTAGAGTAGAAAGAAGGTTACATTCAGAAGGTTACATCCTATGAATTCAGGGTCATCTACAAAACAGAAATGTTGCAATTTCCTTCTCTTTTAGAAAGGGACATTTCTTTAAAGAGCTATGTAACTGACCATTCCCATTTTGCATCTTAGGACCACTAATATTCCCACCACCGTGCAAATTCAGTGGTGAGTCTCAGCAGATTTCACAAGAAATTCCTACCTGGACCAAGCTATATCCTGTGCGCTGGACCAGTGCGCGGAGGGCTGCTTCCTTCTGGGTGCCGCTCAATCCATCCCCGGATTTGTGATTTGATTCCATTGAGAGTGATTATCAGCAAAAAATCAGGTTAATTAGGGTTGCTCACTGAAACCAAATTTAAGATAAATTAAGTAAATTACTGTTGTCAAGTCCAAACTTCTCCTTTTTATGAAGGACATCTTTAGGGAATATTCTCTGTAAATGAGTCATTAAAGTTAGAGCAACTAAGAGTAGCATACAAACAAGGCTGTGTAAATGTACTCTAAAAAAAACTTTTAAAAATGCACAATATTAGTTGAAATTTAGAAACAAAAAAAAAATGAACAATATCCATTCTCCAATTAGAATGCAGATTAGCAATTCTGAATCCACTTATCTCAGTATGTCACCAAATACTCCAAAACAGATCAACTCACATCTATTAAAATAATATGAAGGATGTTCCTTACAGATGCAGGAAGAGGGCACTGTCACTAATTCTAACGACTAAGATAAGGCATCAGAATTCTCAGAGATTGATCTTTAGTCTATATGTCCACTAATATAGTTATATACTTATTCTCCAAAGACAAACGTTTAGAACAAAATGTGCCAGTATCATATACACAGAAGTCATCATGCAAAGTACTCTATGAAATAAAAATGTGACATTAATTTTAACAAAGCAAGAACAATGGATGCTTTTGAGTTGACGTGGAAGGGTTTGCTAACATCCAGATCACATACCACAGACGTGTTCGGTAGAGTACAATGAAACTTCTGTAAATTCTAAAAGGTGTTGAAAGTTTACGTATGTTCATGTTTGTGCATACAGATATAAATATATAATTTCAGCATTTCATTGTCTATATTTTCTATTTTGGGAACAAGATTTGAATCACATTCCAAATGTGATGGTTGCTCATATCCACAGATTCCCAGAACAAGATAATGTCCATTTTGAAGGTTCTAAGCTGTGGGAGTGTGAGGCCCTGGAGTTTCCCACATACACAGAGGTGAAGACTGCCACACTGGATTGCAGTTATCGGTGGCTCAGGGAAGGTTCTATGCTGGGTTTTCACCCTGCTGAATGTGCTCTGCCAACCAGGACAGAGGAAATATGTTTTACAATGATCTGAATCAAATGCAACCTGAATGTATTTGAATATAGGTACTTTTGAAATTCTGTCATATGCATGTACTGCTTCACATTGTCCTTTAAAGGCTCAGAATGAAGACATCATTTATAATATAAGAAACTGGGTGAAAAATTGGGTGAAAGAAAAAAGTGAAGCTGAAGTGATCATTTCTGAAAAATGCAGCTTTAAGGTATTCTATTACTAAAATTGCTATTACTTGAATGACAGAATAGTAATAGAGTATTACTATTAGTAACAATAACAATATTATTAGGACTACCTACTAATATTAGTATTAATAGTACAACCGTTACTAATAACACTAATATTAGTGCTAATATTACTAGTAGCACTAGTATTGCTAATTGTAGCACTATTAGTAATGACAGTGCTAGTATTACTAATAGTAGTAATAATACCAATATAGTAATAGTAGTAGCGATAGTAATATTAGTAGCAATAGCAATACTAATAGTAGTATTACTAATACTATTAATATTACTATTACTACTATCATTAGAGTATTATAATTACTAGTTATTACGATTACTACTATCATTATGATTAGTATTACTATAGTACTACTATTAGTAATAGAAATAGGTATTCTACTACTGAAGTAGTATAATTAAATAAATGTCCCCAAGCTAACAGATAAGTATCATTTAGAAAGTAATATTTTTGCCAGGTGCGGTGGCTCATCCCTGTAATCCCAGCACTTTGGGAGGCCAAGGCAGGTAGATCACCTGAGGTCAGGAGTCTGAGATCAGCCTGGCCTACATGGTGAAACCCCATCTCTATCGAAAATGTAAAAATTAGCCAGGAGTGGTGGTGCATGCCTGTAATCCCAAGTACTTGGGAAGCTGAAGCATGAGAATTGCTTGAACCTGGGAGGTGAAGGTTGCAGTAAGCTGAGATCATGCCATTGCACTGCAGCCTGGGCAACAGAGTGAGACTCTGTCTCAAAAAAAAAGGAAGTATATTTTCAGTATAATTTAGAATATCAAAGGAAAACATGAGATTATACAGAGTTAGCTCTTTTTAGGGCAGAACAATGTCATCCTCTTTATATAAACATGGACATTCTTGCCTTCACCTTTCTGATTGTTCTTGCTTGCTGCTGACCCAGGGCAATTCAGTTTGCATTCACTGATTGTTTCAAGAAGCATACAGTTAATGCTCTCTGTTTGCCAGTTCTACCCTCTGCCTGGCTTTAGGGCATCGTGTTTTAGGGGGAATCTGCTAACTTAGTAAGCTAACATGCCAGCTTCAGCGTCTGTACTTTGCAAAAGGCAAAACATTTTGAAGACTTACAAAGGAAACTAGTCTTTCAGATAAAATTTAACCCTTGCTCTTTTCCCAAATGTTACTAAAATTGTCTTTTCATGAGGACACTCTCAAACCCTCCCACTGTGCTTAATTAACCTGCAAGAGTAAGGATAGGGTCTGATGAGATTATTTATGTACGTGTTACAACTCTTTGAAGGCAAAGTCTACCGTCTTCTGGCCAAGTTGTAGATTTGTTCTTTGCTGAACTTCATCTTTTCCATCAAAAAGATAACAGTCATGGTGAAATGACAAGTTTGTATTTGCAAAATCTGCCTTTAGTTTTGGTTAATAATTAGTAAAGGTTATTAAAGGTATCTTGAAATCAGAAAAGTCTTTTGATCACATATAAATTCATTCTGAAGTTATTGAGAAAATCGGTATAATATCTCAACTATAGTGTCACGTAATTGGGAATCAGGGCATGGAAATAAAATTCAAAATTTGCCACAAGAAACACTTAACCTTTAATTTTTACTTTGCAAAAACAACTCCCTCTCAAAGTGTTGACCTATTCTAAGGAGTGAACTTGAATCCCAGATAAATATTTCTTTTAAGCAAGTCAAACTTTTATTAAACATATTGGCCAATTTGAAATAAAGGCTTTGCAATACATCTTCTAATTTAGCACCTTGTAAGTTCTTCAGATCAGAATTATGAAAGGATAGTTCTCAAACTATCTTATTGAAGCAATAGAATTTAAAACAAACAGGGCAGGCATTAAGACTTTGGAAAGACAGAGAAAAGTATTCATGAGTATTTATCACCTATTAATTCTGAAATTATGTATTGAATATCTACTGTCTTCTAAGAATTTTCAAGACATAGGGATGGAAATGAGAAAAAAACCAAACCTCTCATCCCCCAAAATATCATGGAGTTTTATAGGGGGTGAGAGAGATAATAAATAAGATCAATAACTAGAATACAAAAAGTGGATCTCATGGAGGTTAAAAGTATAAAGGTGGTTACCAGAGGCCGAGAAAGGTAATGGGGAGAAGGAGATGAATAGAAGTTGGTTAAGGGGTACAAGGTACAGCAAGACAGAAGTTCTAGTATTTGATAGTATAGTAGGGAAATTATAGTTAACAATAATTCATTATATATTTTAAAATAACTAGAAGAGAAGATTCATAATGTCGCAAACATAAAGAGAAAATAAATGTTTGATGTGATATTCTAATTACCTTGATTTGATCATTATACATTGTATAGAGGTATCATAATATCACATGTACCCTCAAAATATGTACAACTAATATATATCAATACAGACTAAGTAAAATATAGTGTACTTATATAATTTTTGTGGAGAAAATCCACAGGTTTGTGGCACAGCACTGTTATCTAGTTGAGGATGGCTGAGAGCAGAAAGGGTCAAAAAAGATGGAGATTGGATGGAGGGGAAGGCTACAGTCAATATTACAGGAAAGAATCATATATTCACATACTGTCTCTAAGCATCAATTTCCTCATTTGTGAACCGGAGTGATGAGCAGGCTGTGCATCATATTGTTGTGAAGATGAAATTAGAAAACACCTGTGAAGAATTGCCCTAGGTTTGCTAACAGCTCATGTTGGAGGAGAGAAGCAGAGTAGAGGAACAGCAAAAGAACTCCAGAAAGGGCCTGATGAAATGTCAACTCCTGCTTGTATGATTTCCTCCCCTTTCCCTTCTTCTTTATATCCCTTCTAACAATGGGATAAGGAAAGGATACAAAGTATTGAAAGCCAGGGCTTCCTCTAGTTCTTACAGCTTCCATTAACTGGTGATCAGTGTCTCCTTGTCCTCTCAGACAGTATGTTTTTATTAGCAATGGAACACTTGGTTCAAATGTATCCTCACCACCAAACCTGCTATGTAAAAATGGTCACCTCTTTTCTTTCTTTCTTTCTTTTTTTTTTTTTTTTGGAGATGGACTTTTGCTCTTGTTGCCCAGACTGAAGTGCAATGGCATGATTTTGGCTCACCGCAACCTCCGCCTCCCGGGTTCCAGCAATTCTCCTGCCCCAGCCTCCTGAGTAGCTGGGATTACAGGCATGCGCCACCACGCCTGGCTAATGTTGTATTTTTAGTAGAGATGGGGTTTCTCCATGTTGGTCAGGCTGGTCTCGAACTCCTGCCCTCAGGTGATCTGCCCGCCTCAGCCTCCGAAAGTGCTGGGATTATAGGCGTGAGCCACCGCGCCTGGCCAATCCTCCCGGCGGGTCCCATCTTTTCTTCTTCCACTTTCGTCCTAGAGGAAGCTGTCTGAGCCTGTTTCTTTACACAGAAAATTAGGAGGGGACCGGATGTGGTGGCTCATGCCTGTAATCCCAGCATTTTGGGAGGTCCAGGAGTTCCAGACCAGCCTGGGTAACCTGGCAAAAGCTCACCTCTACAAAAAATACAAAAAATTAGCCAGGTGTAGTGGCATGCACCTGTAGTCATGCTACCTGGGCTGTGAATCACTTGAGCCTGGGAGATTGAGCCTACAATGAGCTGCACTGCACTTCAGCCTGGGTGACAGAATGAGATCCTGTCTCAAAATACTACTACTAATACTAAATTAATACAATTAGGATAATAATACATCCGTCATAATGTTCTTTGAGGAGTCAATATTAATATTGGGAGCTAAATAATGAATATACATTTAAAATACTTAAAATGGTTTCTGG